AACATGACTGTAAAATTTTTGAAATAATTTTTCGTTTAAATAACTGCAAAAGGCTGCAGAAGTCTGAAATTTTAACATGAAGAAATTTCATTACTTCATGGACTAATCAGTTTACAAAGTTTTGTATAACAACATACACATACAAACTTTTAAATTTTAAAACATCTTGAGTGGCTGCGAGCTTCTCCAGCTATGCGAAGCTCCGAGTTTCACGTGACTCTTTATAATTAAAATTACAATTCATTTAAGTTTCCAGCCCGAAAATCTGAATTTTTTTAATATTTAAGATTCTTTATTCTTATACAATATATACAATATTGCCCAAAGAGCCACACTATATAATAGAATAATTGTAAAGAAAAGCTTCCAATCTTATTTTTAACTTGAATTTAAGCTTGTGACAGATTTCGGTAAGGAAATATGGCTCTTGAAAAAGGAATCTAAAACTTTTAATGTGCTGTTTTATCAATATTATCAGATTTCTTTAAAATGAGCAGTATTTTTCCGGGTCCAGGTCATGACTTTTAAATTTTTTATTATTTTTTTTTAATATTACGAATTTTATTTTAAATTGTTAAATAAAAAAGTGAAAATTCGTATCATGGACTATCCAAAGTAAAATATTGCAATTCTTTTGTTTAGATTCCATTCAAAAATAAAAAAGGCCAAAACTTAAGCGTGCTCACTTTCAACAAAAACAATGATTTTGTAGATCAAAATCTTATTGTTTCAATCATTTTTTAGAGACCTTTAAGGTTTCTTAATTTAGCATTTCTTTTTAGTTTAAAGGAGACAGTAAATGAGTAATCATAAAAAATAAAAAGGAAAATGTTAAAATTGCGGTCTTTTATTGTGAGATTCTCTTTTCTTCAAAATTGAATGCTTTGTCAGGAAAACGAGGTAAATGAAGACATCATTGAATAATCTAAATTACTTTAAAGAAGAACAAAATCAGTTATTAAAGAGAAGGTTAAAGGATCTATTCAATAAATAATGATATCCCGAAATTAAAATAAGTTAAATAAACTCGAAAATAAATTAAACAGCTAGTCAAAACAGAAGTTCTTTATAAAAATTTTAACGAAAATTAATTATAAAAATACAAATACATAGTATAGTATAAAAGTTTAATTAATCAAGGTTAATTGAGATTTATAAAGTAAAATTTTTAGTATAAAATTTATAATTCTCATAACTGGTTACTTACTTATGTTTTTCCATTTTATTTACATTTTTCAACTACCGAATAAAATATTATTCAAGTTCAATCATGTGCAAGTTGGAATCGCTTCAACTTTTTAGTCTAACATCCACTAGAACAAGAGTGGTCTTGTATCAAACTGCACTGCTATACACCACTGTATAGACCCTCTCCTGAGTAGACAAAACTTTTGTGTAGAGACTACGTTCGCAACTAAAGAGGTTCGGAGTTACAGAGTCTTAAAGTTAATTTCGACTGATATTTTTATTTTTTGAAATTTTAAGTATAACTCCGTCCCTTTGTACACGCGTAATAATAAATATAATTTGGAAACCTCAAAATATGGAGTTTCTTATGAATATCTAACATTGGTTATAATCTGTTCAGATTTCAGAATCATATAATTTTAAAGTTCGAAAAATTTGAATTTTAACTTTTCATTTAAAAAAAAAAAGTTATTTTTCTAGGTTGCGTAACATGGGAGCTTTCAATTTTTTCACAGCTGTCAACCTTGTCTACTAACCTTTAATTTGGTATATGGGTCTTCTTCGCATCATTGTAGTTTAGGAATTATTAAAAAAAATAGATTACTGCAAATCTTATTCTACACCAAATTTTTTTCTTCATTCACTTAAAAAAATGTACAACAATCGCTAAAAATGGTGCTTCTCTTCTGTTATATAAATATTCAACTTATCAACCGAGTTTCCCTCATAATTACAAAAATTAGTGGCTCGAAGAATATTTCTCATTGGTACAGCTCTGTAACTCAATTTCAATGTTTTAATTTCAATAATCTGTTGATGATTTTAAATTTCTCGAGAGGGGGAAGAATCGATCTTTCTTGCTGATCATTGGACTGTTGACCCTCTTCCAAATCATAACTTTATAAATTTTCAAATTACTATTAAAGCTATTTTACAAAGTAAATAGTAAGCTTTTCACTGCATAAAAATATCGTGCAAAATAAAAGAGATCGAGTATTTTTTTTTTGTTTATCGTTCTCTTCCATCTTTCAGCTATGTAAAAATCTTTGTTCAATTAGTCATCAATTACGTGCATTTATAATTTTTATATAGACATTTATATTTATCTTAATGCATTGAATGTTATTCATTCTATTTTATTACATAATATTATTTATAAGAATTTTCTAACAATTTAAATCAATTTCGATTTTTTCCAATATTATTGAATTAAAAATTTGGAAGGTCTTTCAAAAGTGAAAATATAGAAAGAGGATATCATTATGTTTTTGTTTGGAAATTCGGAAAATACGTATATAATATAATGTACATAATATACATATGTTATATGTATACCATAAACAAAAAATACGATCAAAGATTTTTGTTATTTTTTCATTTTCCGTTTTATTTTGAAAAATCTAACGAACCGCAAAATAAGTCAATAAATATAAGGTTAACATCTTCATAAATTACTCATGAACTTAAATTTTTCATTTTGACAGTACATATTTATAAATTTTAAAACATATACATATGTACATAAAAATTTAAAACAGGCATTTAAACAAATTTAAATTTTGTAATATTTAATAAAATAATATTTGAGTTTTATATTGTTGGTTCGAATTTAAGTTCATTTAATTTTCACAAAAGTAAATTTCATGTATGTTATTCTACTATGTATGTATGTATGCATGTACATATGTATGAAAATTGAAAACTGTTATATTCTTGCTTAAAGTCCAATTCAGGCCATTATTTTGCTCTCCTCAGTCAAGAATTAAACGATAAATATTACAAAAAGTTTAATATGGACACAAAGACTTTGATAATTCAGACATGCACTTAAAAGTTTAATCTTAAAAATTTTTTTTTGCATAATTAATCTCTTCAATGTACATACCACATTTTATCTAAATATGGTTTTAAAGTTAAAGTATTTTTGATTTACAAAAAAATGTTAAAAATTGTGTGAGGTTACCGATTAAATATTCTACTAGGCACTTAATAATGTTAATCTGCTAGAAGCATTTTTGAAAACTGTTAAATTTTTCATCATATTTAATCTCGCATACACTAAGTCCTCGTGATACAACATCTTCTAATACGACATTTCGAGTTACGATATGATATAAATTTGGGCCATTTCTATTCAGCATGCAACATTATTCCTAATACATTAAAAATTTTAATTTTTATACCCGTACGAACGTATGTTCGAAGGGTATATTAAATTTGCCTTATCGTTTGTAACGCTAAGAAATAATGGTCACAGATATGGACTCAAGTGTATGTTTTTGATCAGCCTCGAATTCTAAGTTGATTTAGCTTTGTCTGTCCGTTTGTCCGTTCGTCCGTCCATTCGTCCGTCCGTGCGTCCCAACCACAGCTCAAAAACTAATTGAGCCAAGTTCACCAAATTTGCACAAATGATTTATTATAGTAAGTGCCAGAACCCTATTTAAATTGGACGGGTAGCTGCCATGCAACTTTAAAATTTATTTCACTATATCTTAGAAACTATGAAAGTTGGGGTATTGAAATTTCGTACAAGTAAATATATTAGTACGGCCAATATGTTTAATAAGAGTCGTTGAAATTGCTTGGCTTTTTTTGGTAGCAGCCATACAACCCCAAAAGTTATTTGGCATTATTTCAGAATTTTTTGGTATTATAATATAGAAATCACGTGAAAACAAGTGTATTATTAGGGCTGTTATGTGTGATAAAACTCATTGAAATTTCTTGCCTCGTTTCAGCCTTACAACTTCAATAGTAGTTTGGCCATATCTTACAAAATATTGAAAGCACAGTGCTGAAATTCTGCATAAATTAATATGGTAATACGGTAACTTAAATTCATAGTCTGTCCCATAGTCAGTTTTGGCATATTTATTCGTACATGGAATAACAAATTCGTACGGGTATCAAAGAGTTGACACGGTCAACTCTATTTTTCTCGTTTTATTTATTTTTTGTTACAACATTGAATTTTTTTGGTTTCGTTATTATATTTTGTTGTTTTTTTTTAACTTTGTTGCCTTTTTTCAAAAATTAGGTCAATTATATTATAAAATAGTTTGTCTAATTCACTTTTTGTTTTCATACATTTTTCTTTCTCCTCAAACGACAATTCGAGTTACGACATAAATTTTTGGAACCAAAAATGTCGTATCTCGAGGACTTAGTGTATTTTGTTTTATCGACAGAGATGAATACATATGTTGCCGAAAAACAAAATTTGAAGAAAATAGGGAAGATCTAAGTACATTTAGATATTTAGATTATTGAGGAATTTTATTAAGTGTAAAAGTAATCAACCGGCAGGAGTTTCAAATTTTAATGGAGTTAATCCCAAATTCATTTTCTTAATTTTCGTTAACACTTTCACCTGTGCTCTTACCCAAAAACCAAAAACAGGTCGAAGACATCTTTCCTCTGTAATTTACTATTTGTTAGTTGTACTTTTTTCTGTCACTAGTTTATTTTAAAACACTTTTCTAGTTCTTTAACATCAAAAAGTTTTGAGTCCCGCTTCTTCCGTCACATCACATTTCACGTTTAGTAGAATACTAAAAAATTCAATTTGACAAAAAAAGTGACAGTCTAAAAATAAAATAAATCTGACGCGACTAGCGGAATGAGGCTAAATGTATTTATTAATAAACAACTACCTCATACGTCCAAAGCATTGAACGTTACTGAATTTTTCAAGAGAGGAATCGCTGTAGTTGCCTAAAAACGATCGAAAAGCGACCTTTATAAAAAAAAAAAAAAATCTCAAAAAATATTGCATAAATTTCAAAAATGTTTGTGAAACCAAAAGCAGTTAAATTGTTCTTTTTTTGTTTTACTTTATTTCCTGATAAACGTTTTCTTTACTTAAAAAAAAATACATAAAAAATTTCGAAAATAATCAGAAAAAATTCAAAATGCAATCTGGAAACTTGTTAATTTTGTTATTATGAAGAGTCTAAAATTATAATTTTTGTACATAAAATAAGGGACTATAGTACAGTAACCGTAATTAAGAAGTATTTTACCGATATTCAAAGATTGAAAAAAATTACAATATTCAAATTCTGACATCTTTCTACTTCACTAAATATGCATATAATCAAAAAGTTATTTTTTGCTGACACGATATACTTTTCAGCTTATATTGCTACTCAACTATCAGGCTGGATTCTCAACATTTATTTGAAATACAGAATGATTTATTATAATTCGGAATTATGTATCGTATCAACATTTAATGACTTTTCAATCATTTTTTATACAATTAATTAATGTTACATATGAATACAAGAATTATTCAATCAATTAGCTTAATTAATGGTTAGATAATTAAATTTAAACATTATTTTCTTAATTAAATTCAAATAACAAAAAAAATTAATTGCAGTCAAAAATTAATTGCAACCAACCTAAAATTGGTAACTTTTTTAAATTATTTTTTCTTTGTGCTATTTTAAAGTTGAATATAAAAATGTCGAAGATTAATTGCAAACAAAGAAGCAATCACACGAAATCTACTTGAAAGAAAATCACCATAGCAGATACAATAGTAAGGCCCCTAGGCTGTTTAATATTAAATTATAAAGAATTTAATTTTAAAATGTTACACACGCTAAGTCTTTTTTAAACAATTATTTTTAGATTTTTAACGCAAATGGAAAATATTTAGTTAAAACTAATTGCCGAATAAAATAAAACATTTCAACAATTTCGGAAGTTTTAATATTGCTTAACGTGTTTATCATTAATTTTTCTATTTTTAATTTTTATTATGATTGAAGTGGTTTTTTTTTAAACCATAACTAAGGCTATTCCTCAATTGATTAAAAATCTTTCTTGTTAGTCCTGGAAAATGCAATTGAAAAAAATCTGACGGCAATTAATTTTTAAGTTTTTCATTTAATTGTCCTAAATAATAAGAAAATTAAAATGAATTTTCTTGTTAAAATTTTCAAAATATAGTAGTTAGTACGTCTTTATTTTATATTAAATTTTTTTAATTTCTAATTTTTAAAAGATTAAGGATATACATATAAATTTTATTTTTTAAATTTGCTGTTGCTTGCAATTGATTTAAAACTTTTATTTTTTATTTTGCTTTTGAACGGAAAATGTGGACATACAATCTTTATGCTACTTTTTTTCTAAAATGTTCATATAGTTACATTTTTGATTAGAAAAATTTTTAATTTTCCATATACTTCTTTTTCATTTACATTCACACACGTTCTCTTACAAGTTTTTTTTAATTTTATTATTTTAATCTTTTTTTAGTTTTTGAAAACGGTTAATTTTATAATATAAACTATGTATAATTAGCTGGATCTTAAATTATTTTCAAACTGATTGCTGATTTTTCTGTAATTATATTTTGATGTTACTGTTGTTAAGTTTACTGTAGTTATATTGTGTTAGTATAGTTTTTTTATATAAATTTTATTTATTTTATAGTTGTCCACAATCAGCTATGATAATTTTTTTCGAAGTTTTACCAGATTGACTTCCAAATGATTCTATTTTTTTGACAACATCCATACCTTCTACAACTTTACCAAATACAACGTGACGATTGTCAAGCCATGATGTTTTAACAGTGGTAACAAAAAATTGTGATCCGTTTGTATTTGGACCAGCATTTGCCATTGACAAGCAACCAGGATCGGTATGTTTTAAAGTAAAGTTTTCATCTTCAAATTTATTGCCGTAAATGGATCTACCACCAGTACCATTATGTTGAGTAAAATCACCACCTTGGCACATAAAACTTGGAATAACACGATGGAATGTTGATGATTTATATCCATAACCTTTTTCACCGGTGCATAGGGCACGGAAATTTTCAGCTGTCTTTGGTACTACATCAGATCGGAGCTAAAATTAAAAAATCAAAAAGATCTTTTTTAATTTTATTTGCAAGCAAGAAAAAAAAATCAAAAAAAATTTTAATATTGAGTTGCAACAACCTTTTTTCCAAAAGTAATAAGTTTTTCAAAATAAGGGATCTATCTAGACCGTGACGATTTGAAAATAATATATGAACATGATAAATATATAATAAATTAGATTTTTAGTAAAAAAAAATACACCAATATTTCAGTTTTACTATATTAACTTTATTTTGGATGATCTTTATATTTGTAACTATTAAAATGAGATTATCACATATTTTTTCATTATTACGAAGTAATCAAAAAAAATTAGAAATTGATTTACAATTCAAGGTTAAAAATTCATTTTAATTTTGACTGATTAAACAATTTATTGAATCATGAATTAAATAATGTTGTAACAATTAAAACTGAAAGCTTTAGTGTCACCGTTTCTTCCTTTTCGTAAAAATACTCATTGTTAGTAGAAAAACCTTATTAATTACGTTAATAAAAAACAAAAAAAACCGGTATAAGTTTTGGAAGTTACTAAATATAGACACAAGTTAATCTCCATCTAATTTGTAACGAAAACAATACAAAAAAAACAATTAATCTAAGATTGTATACTTCAAATTTCCAAGACTGACTAATATCAAATGAAATTTTTTCATATTTTCACCTATCGAGAAAATGATGTCATAAAAATTATTTTTGTTATAGCAAAAAAACCTTTAAAAAAATCGTTTTATAATTAAATTACATACAAAAAGAGAGGTTATATGATGGCATCAAATTTTCAGATGTCGAGTTTTCGGTGGAAACGCATTCCTGCTAGGGAAGAGTAATTAAACTATTACAGATTTCGGTCTTTCGGTTAGAAACTGGAACTTTTTACGGGCCAATTTTACATTTTTGATCATTTTTAGGAAAGTATTCAATAGATTTCCTTCAAATTTTATATATAAGCCTCGCATGACAGTACGACAAATCAAATTCACTTTTTTGCGTATTTAAAGAGTAATAACGGACAAATTTCCATAAAATTTAATATTTGAGTTCAGGGTGTTAAAACAATGAACTTGTAAATTTTTTTAGAAACCAGGTCTCGAAAACCAAGCTAGGAAATTATTTTACGTTTTTTATCATTTCTAAGGAACTAACTGACGGAATTTCGTGAAATTTAATATTTGAATTATGTTTACTACCGGAATAACCGACGAAGTTTTCAGAGTTAAGTGAATCTCCCATAAAAACCAAATTTACACTTTCTTTAAGTATTTTGTCAACAAGGTTAAAATAAGGTTGTCAAAAGTTTCGTTAAAGTAGACAATACACTTTGCGTCTGTTATATTGTGCTGACCACATCAGACTTTTTTTGTTTTATATTTTTTTTTTGAAAAAAAACGTTTGCATTGATAGTTATCTGATTTTTCTTATATTGCGATACTCTTTTGGGTTTATTTCTTTTTTGTGAAATATCCATAAAAGTGAAGCTGTAAAGAACAAAAGCAACATCCTAAAATCATAAATTTCAAAATTTTCCAAAAAATTTTTTGGAAAAAAATTTGGAAAAAATTTTGATGCAAATAAAAATTAAGTATGATGTCGGTAAACTTTTTCATCAATATTTCGAGATCGGTAATTTAAAAGAATTGTTATGTATTGATGTTCGTATTTCAAAATATTGTTTCTTTAATGAAAATATAATAAGTAGATTTTTTAAAGAAAATTAATATCGATTGAATACTTATGCTATCGTAGCGTTACCAATGTGCTGTTGCCCCCCTACGTGGGGGATAAATATTATGATATTGCAACTTAAATTGAAATCTTGTCCAACGCTGCAATAGCAAAATAAAATAAGGAGATACTTCAATCGAATATTTAAATATTTGGAACAAGAAAGTGAACCATCTAACAAAATAATCCATGTTACAATTTAAGTGTAGAATAAAAGAATTTCATAGTTATGAAAAGTAAAATATCGAAGCGGTACGGTACAGCAACCCAAACTATTTCTCCCTAAACAAAATTGAAAAAAATTAAGTTTCTTCAATCTGGGAAAAAAATATGTACATATACGTGTGTACATATATACACATACGCGCATCAAATCTTATAAACAATTGCACATCATCATTTACTTTACCTGTAAAGTAAAAAATTTTCATATGTTCAAATTCAAATTTCTTCTTCTCACTATATTATACGACCACAAAAGCATTGTTAATTAACGGTAATTATAAATAAAATTGTTACACTTAAAAAGTACATATAATAAGAAACCCATGTTGTCAATTAGATATTTATTAGGACATTAGTAGCAATATCCTAGATACCTCCAATCTGTTGGCTATGGAAAACATTAATTCATACATACATGCATACATCCTTTATTGCCCTGCATGTACAAAAATTTATTTTTTATTACAAAATTATATTACAAGAAAATTATCAAATTATTGTTTAACACGTTTAATAAGTGTGTGCTCAATCGACTAGATTTTTGTGAGTAGTCAATATTTATAGAAAATGAAACAAAAAAAAATGATGAAACTTTCAACCTTGAAAATTTCTTTTCACACCAAGAAATTTGTATCCAATTTAAATAGATTGTGTTCTTTAGATATCGATTAATTCTTTGTTTGTAAAAAGTCTAACGTATGGAAAATAATTTCAAGAGTTTTCAGAGAGTTTTGTTATTAAGCTAACTGAAGTGTAGTTCCTATTTAACTGATTCCACAAAAATTAAGAGATGATCGGTATGCTGAAAACAATTTAAAAAACTAATAAATGACTGTGATAACCAAAGAATTACATATTATGATTCCATGTTGCTATTATGCTTTCTATTATACTTTCTAATTTTTCGACAAATTTAAGTGTCTTGTTCCTGTTCAAGAACAAGACACATTTGATGAGAGAAAATTTTATTATCAAACTATGTTCTCTTTTTTTTTTTGAACTATTTATTTAACAATATCGAAAGAAGATCACAGGGCGAACTAGACCCATTTACAATAAACGAATTTATATTCTCAGTTTCAAATTGCATTTGAATGTAATGAAAAGTGAAAAACACAAAACGCTTTTTCAAATTGACAAAAAATTGAAAGTTGTATTGAATAATGACAAAACAAGTTTATCAATTTAGCGAATACTTTCTAAAACCAAAAAATCCTCAAAAATTGATTATACAATGGCCAAAATGGCATTGTTCAAAAAAAAAATCTACGCTTGTTTGTACTATTTGAGTTGCACACTTTTGGTGTAAACTTGCTTCCCCAGACGATATCAACACAAAATATCTTTAATATGCTTAATTTCTAATCTAAATCATTAATGACTATTATTTCCGTACTCATCGTTTTTGAATTAAAATGAGTAAACATACGAGAAAATATTCAAATACAATCAATAATATAGCTATTAATAAAAATATAAAAGTTGTATTTGTACTTAATAATGTACATTAATAGTGTAACATGAAAATGGTCAAGGAAAATGAAATACACTTACTTTACAAACTGTAAAATTTTAATTTGTATGTATGTATTTATAAATTTTTATATTTAAAAGTTTTATTAAATAAAAGAAAAAACACAATGTCAATTGATTGAGAAATCAAATTTTAATACTAGAAACAAATTCATACTCTCTCCCAAATTTTAAAAATAATAAAATCTTCTAAAAATCATTCTTTAAATATTATTTTAAAACTGTAATACTAACGGAGATTTATTTGGTACATTTCAACTTTTTTTTTAATTGAATCTCAATTGAAATTCTCAGTGAATCACGTAAATTGACGAATCTGATTACAATCGACGCTCAATCGATACAGTTTTAAAAATCTAATGTAATCAATCAGCATAGCATTGTGCAATTTTTTTGCATTATTGTACAAATTCTAAAACGATTTTTGTGTAATTTACTTATTAGTGCTAATCCAAAAGATCCACTAATTTCCTAGGTTGAATTCGCATTCGCACTTTTAACAAATATTTGCAATGGCAGGTCGTTTTTATAGTTTGCTCCAAAGCGCATTCAGTTTTTGTAAAAAATCTTCTGTCCAATCGACAGCATAAAATTCTTTTCTGCTTTTATAACCTAAATTAGAAAAGAACTTATTTTTTTACAGTAGTTCTATTGCAGTGCAGTTTTAACTAATAAGATAATGTTCTTGATTATTTAGCTTACAAAACCAAATCAAAATGCGACCATATTGCGATACAATACATAGCATGATATTTCAACGCTTTAAAAAATGAATCTGAAATGCTCAGAAGTTGTAGGAGATTATAAACAATATATTTGACTTTCGATTCAGAAGCGATGAAATTCCCAAATTTATTCAACGCAACCATTTAAATGAATTTTTTCTCATCCTTCTTATTTTTACTGACAACTAATTTTCAATAAAATTATAGTAAAAATTTTAATACCCCTATTTATACTCCTTTATTTTTCATTCAAAACATCGCGTGATTTAATTTTTTTGTTTTCTTATAAAAAATTAACAAATAACAAGATAATAAAACTAAATAACCATGTAAAACACGTCAATTAATAGACAAGCAAGGAGGCCGAAAAAGTAATTATTTTATGTCAAATAAATATCCTTAATATGTATAGATAAAATAACTAAAACACTAGATGAAATACACAATAACAAATTTATTTTACTTAACACAATTTTTTGATAGTTTTTTGAGATCTAGTAAAGCAAAAGATTTTCTTTTTACTTTTACAATATTAATTTAATTGCTTGTAGAAAATTATTTTATTTTCGATATTTAATTCTATTTTACTATATTATTTTACAATTTTAATTTATAATTGCTTTAATACATTATGTAATATAAGCTAATGAAAACAAAAACATGAAAAACTTTGTAAGAGCACATAATATGTTGTGCTTTAAAGTTCAAATATTTTTGTTGAACTACATTATAAAAATATATATGTATATACATATTTTAAATATGTTTACAATTTCTGAAATACATATTGAATTTTCAATGAGAGTTTAGCCATATTGGTCAAAAACCGCGTGATGTTATACTTATTTTTCCTATAGTTTTTTTTTGTGTTACCTTTTCAAAATTTTTTTAATACTAGCTACTAGCTAGCAGCTTATTTTACACCTAAAGCTTGGAGAAATTACAATATCTGATATACTCTTTTTTTATCGTCGGTAAAATTTATTCTAAAATGTTTCATTATAAATTTGAATGAGTATTTTTTTCAGTGAATAATTAATAAATAATAAAGTGTTAGCTTTATTACACAATATTCAACGCAAATTACTTTATGATTATTGTTTCAACATTAATAAATTTTTTATTAAATATTATGTACATAAGTACCTAGTACCTACCATGTATTTACAAAATCGATGAATTATTGTAATGCGTAAGTTACACCTGTTCTACCAAATTATATTTTAAAGGGAAATATACTACTACACTACAAATCTATTAATGTACAATTAAAAATTTGGATAAATTCATAAAAAATTCTATGACTACTACATGTGTGTGTTTTGTCATCAGTGTTCCGTCAAAAGTTAAATTTTTTTTAACTCAAAAATTGGATGAACGAACTGTCAAATCATTCAACAATCAACTGTCAAAACTGTTCATAATTTTACTTATGATGTCACACCACCAGGGCAAAATTGCTTTTAGACGGTTCAATTCGCGCTCGTAATTTCGCTTTATTCTGTGCAGTTCCATTTATATATGTATTCATATATTCAATATGAAATTTGACATTTGACAATCTTTATACATTATCCGCGACTTCAATAATGCGCTTTGCACAATCAGAATGCAAGTTTAGTAAAAGCTCTTACCATTGTACACTTTTCCAAAATGCGTTCTATACGTAGTGGATACGTAAAATAAAAGTAAATTAGGTATCGAAAAAATCGAGCACGCTTTTTTTATACAAGTGATATAAATGTTGTCAGAAATAACCAATTAAATATAGTAGTACATATTTTCAGCAATAAAGTGCTAGTTATTAAGTTTTTTCCCAAAATGCAGCATAAAAATCTTTATAAGCTTTTACAAAACTTTTTGGAATTTGATACTTTGTGAAATTTACGTCGTAAGCGTATTATTGAAGTCACGGTATGTATTAATATTGTAAAAATTGTATTGCAAAATGTATCAAAAGCTTTAGCAGTTTTTTTTACAATGTAAAGGTATTGAAAACTCTTTTTATAAGGCATTATTGAAGTCCCGGGTATGTGTTTATTTTCGGAAATCCATTTTGTGTGACTCATAATAATATAAGCTAGATTGAATGTACGCGATATTTGTAAATACCCGTTCTTGCATTTAAAACAAATCTCAATTTTCTTGTTTTTAAGTTGTACTTAGCAGTTTAATAACTAGTTAACTAAATAGAAAAGTTTATAATACCTTTAATTTTATTTTTAATTAGTTTTTGTTTTCAATTTAAAATAACTTCTCCCCTCATCTGTCATTAGAGAAAAACTTTCAAGGTCAATGTTCAAGTATCATGATTAATTTTTTTAAGTCCAACTCACGAATACATTTAAAAATGCATTTATTCTATTATTTTTATATATTATGTACAACGTATTTATACAGTTCATTCAGTAATCAGTATATGATATGATTACTACTATATACACATGTGTTAATACGAAATGTACACTCATATATATACATACATAGCTTTTGTATACATATTCTGATTTTATAACTAGAATTGATAGTGTCATACTAAATTATTTTAGAATATTATATAAGTGCAAAAACTATTTAATTTAGTTTCACTTAAAAGTGAAACAGTTCTTGTTAGCTTTGCCTTGCTTTAATATTTTGCTACTTTAACTACATACATACATAGATGTCCACATATTTGATATTGGAATATTTGATTTTATTTCACAAAGAATCAAAAATGAATTTATAATTTGTATAATTCTTCTTGTTAAAAAATTGAATTAAAAATTTTAAAATTTAATTTTTTTTTTACAAAAAATTCAAATATTATTTTTGAAAAAAATTATTTAGCTTTGAACATTTTAAAAATGCAATGAGTTTAGATAATTTTTACATTATTTCAATTTACGTTTCAATTTTGTGAAATTGAAACATTTAATGTTATTCAAAAATATTGAAATTTCCAGTTTATAATTTTGGAAAATTTTGGAAATTAGAAAATTCACTGATAAACAAATAGAATGAATTCTTCAATGACAATCATTAAAAAACTTTTTATAAAATATCCCATCACCTCAAAGGGGTCTATCAGAATATGAGTAGCTATACATAGATGTCTATATACAATTGCATATTGATCAACGAAAAGGCATTTTTCCGGCAGTCCCGAAATTGATTTTTGTGATGGCTAGAAAAAATAAAAATGTAGCAATTGCAATATGAAACCTTCATATTATTATTGGAGCAATTAGTAAGGCGCCTCTGTCTATAAATTTTGCAACTTAAGATTTCAAGGATACATACATCTGTACATAATTTTTGCTTTAATTTTTTTTTACAGAAAAAATAATTGCAATTGAAATTTTAACAAAAAAAATGAGTTATAAACGCTAAAAAATAAAATTTTAATCTAACAAAAAAAAAAATAAGTAAAAACTAAAACAAGTTTTCTACATACAGAAAATTTTAAATTTCTGTATAAATGGGGGCCTACCACTTCTACGTAATGTAAATCGATATTTTGTCACAAGTACTTTTCGCCCAATATTATTTCACTTTACTCACATACATGATTTACATATATACATTCATATATATGTATGGATTTAGTTGTGTGAACATATTCACGTACACGAAATGTACATACATACATCTGTACTCAGCCTTACAAAGAATTTAAGAAAGTATGTACATACGTATCTACATGTACATATTATTTTAAATTTAGTAACTAGAATAATTTGTGTTCCCCTTAATAAATGTAATTAAATATATTTGCATACGTACATGTATATATATGTACATATATTAAGAAATTTTAAATTTTTGCAATCAAGAAATTTTTCTGTACAATGAGCCTTTCTGTACAATGAGTTATTTGAAATATACGTTTAAATACACGTTTAAGAGCAAAAAAAAATTAAAAAAAAATATTGAAAATTTAGAGTAAAAATAAAACTGAATAAAACAACTACGTGATTGAAAAATTAAACTGAGTCTATTAAAGGCTAGGTCTTAAAATATAATCTTAATTAAGAAAAACATTCCTTTATATTATCTGTAAAAGACAAATATAGGAGAGTTTTCCTTAGTTTAATATGAAATAAAATCATGACACCGGTATAGCGGGCGCCATTATTTTAGCCCCGCGTTGTCCATCTTTCTTAATTTTTTACACAATTACTCATACACTCAAATTATGTTCTATATAGTTCTATATGCTTTCACAAACACACATTTACCTATCGAAAGGTATTAAATTTTCCTTTCTTTTTTGTAATATAACACGACGACGACGACCTCCGGTCTACTTTAAATCACTTTTTCTATTTTTGGAATTAAAATAATATGAAAAATTTTTACTTACTTCCATTACAATACGACCCAATGGTTGATTATCAGCAGTCATATCAAAAAATACACGAGGTAAACTCATTTTGGAATTTTTTGAATATTCGCGTGCACAAATTAAGAAGAAACTTTTAGCCGAATGACTTGCTTGCTTAAAAGCTGGTAAAAACATGGCTGCTACGGAAAATTTTCGATTTGTCGACAAAAAAAAAAAAGCAAAAACAAATGTACCGGTAATTAGCCGTTAGAAATGTCAACGAGTCGACTTCGAAATTTTAAATACTTAGTGTGGAAACAATCTGGATTGGTTGGTAAACACTACCTGAAAATGTGTGTACCAACCAAAATTTCGAATGAAATAATCTGAAACTAAAGGAGCGTTCCCTCTCGCTGTCCGAAAAACCGACCAAAATAATTTTTACACAACGATCTACATACTTACAGCTACAGAAAAGAAAAATTTTCGATTTCGATTCTTATGTAGCGAACAACTGATATTTGATGTCTGATATTAAAATCAATTCGTAAATAAATATAACAAAACTTTACAAAGTATGCTATGCAGTAACCACTTATAAAAAAAATAATAAGCATATGTTTGTTTTTATACATGTTGGCTCTAATATAAATAGCGGACAACTTGGAACAATGCATTTCTTATAATAATTATGAAATTATAAAAGTAATATGATAACTATAATCTAATAATTACAAACTTAAATTTTAACTTAAAATTTAATGAAATTTATAAACTTTATTTTATGTCATGTATTCTAGACTAAAAGATATAACAAAAAAATTTTTTTTACTGAATATATTATCATTTTTTGCTTTCAATTCTCAGTTATGTTGCCTGTTACCTGTGTTGTTCAAAAAAAACTCGAGAATATCACCCTGAGCGTGAACTTCGCTCTTTTACTCACTTTTTGTACACTTTCAAATCGGAATTCTCCGTTTTCCTAATGGATATTTCATATTTCCAATAAAATAACTCATTTTTTCAATTGGATTTTTGCATTTTTTCTCAAATTATCAGCTGAGCCTCTCACTTTCAAAACCGAAATACGCAATATCGAATAATTCTCTTCACTATAAAATTACATCATAAAAATATATGATGTTTAATTACCTTCTTTTCACTTGTCGAGTAAAATAACGAGATAGACGTTCAAGTCCTAAGTTTTCGTATAAAACAGATAAAACCGATAAAAAAAAAGTTCAAGGTCTTATGCGAGATTTCGTGTTTGTTTAGTTATTGTTCTTAAAAAAAACTTAATAACTGTCATACGTTTTAAAGGAATATGTCGATTTATACTACATGCAAAGCAGCCCATCTATCAATCCAATGTTTCGCATAAGGTCGCAAATAATTCTAGGGATGATTCTTTGATCAATTGCAAAAAGGTACCAGATTTCTCTTGCACATAAATAAATGCTTATAACTTTGGAGACATGTGGCATAGAGTAACCAACGGAGGCCTTCTTTACAGGTGATTGGTTGCTTTTTATTTTCGACCAAATTTTCAAACCAATTAGATTTCAGCCATAACATTCGAAATAAAGTTCGTCAAAGTTAGAATTTATGTTTTGCTTTTTTGAAACTTTTTTTAAAAAATTCGAAATTTCTCGAAAATTTGTTTATCGTTTTTTTTCATGCGCTTCATCTTTCATAATTTTGCCAGCAAAACATGTTCAATGTGCTTAAAAACATGCGAAAAATGCATATCTGCATGTCAAATACATATTTTTATACCAAAATATGCATTTGTCTGGAAGATATACTCTGTTTCGATTATGTTTGCATATCAAATATTTGATAGCAAACATATCAAATAATTAAAAATCTGATAATATTTAGTTTTTTATTTTTTCGATCAAAGTTTATTCGATTTCAGAAAGACTTCAATTAATAATACAAATCAAATTAAAATTGAATCTAGCAATTTTTCAGCTCATCAATCGAAACGTATTTGGTTTGACTTTCCCCATAAAACCGCAAAAAAATTCCCGAAAAACCAACATACAAACTTTGACATAAAAAGACAAATCTTTGATTAATTTAGTTTATAGGGTGAAAATTTGTGCAAAAGTTGTAAAATTTGGAAATTGGAAAAAATATAAAATTATTCAGAAGTAGAACAAAAAAATGAGCTTTAGTGGTCAATCAAATCCTCCTTGGCAAAGGAATTTAGGTAACGAGGATATAATATGTTAAGCCTCACTCATTATAACGATATTTTAGGAAATACCGGTAGCCAAATTCCAAGCAGATTTGGGGCAAATCAACAAATGAATATTCAAAGTACCACTATTTTTGGGCCACAAGGCATGGGTATTCCTGGACAAAATGGGCTGTTTAATCAAAACCAGATTCCTCCACAAATATCTTACCCTCAAACAAGAGGCTTAAATCCAGTGGCATTTGGTGCAGGTGGTGGTCCGCCCCCGCTTATGGGAACAAATCCTGGAAACGCACCGAGTGGAATTATGCTTACCTCGCAACAAAAGAAAAGTTTTATCGGTTTCGTAACAAAAGTGCATAATGATTACGGTTTTGTTGATGATGATGTATTTTTCCAACTTGAGGTTTGTAAAGGAAGTCCAAAGGTAGGTGACAGGGTTTTGGTCGAAGCAACTTTTAATCAAAGTGGAACCTTTAAATGGACAGCAACAAGGGTGCAATTAGTATCTGGACCAAATTCAAACCCTGTTGCTCCTCCACCTCCAAATATTTCTGGTCATGGCTTCAAACCATCACCAGTTCCTTCACCGAATGATTATCCTTGGCGCAGATCATCTCCAGAGAGACATGAAAGAATTCGTCGTAGCTCTAGAGAAAGAGATCGAGAGAGGAGTAGAGATCGAGAACGTGAGAGAGATCGTGAAAGAGATAGAGATCGAGACAGAGAGAGAGACAGAGAACGTGATCGCGATCGTGAACGTGATAGGGAAAGAGATCGCGAACGTGAGGTAAGAATTATATTTTTAATATTCAATTTAAAAGTAGCTCCTTGAAATAATTGAAAGGATGATGTAACGAGAAAAAAACGTCGGGAGAAAAGCGCCGCCCCTTCTTGGGCTCCCAGCCCAAGAAAAAACTCTCCAAAACGCAGAAGACGTGCTCCCCCTCCTTATATGGTGGATATCCCCAAGGTCAATTTAATTATGTAAGAGGAAGTGTTATATCTTTATTAGTTACGTTTATTATTAAAGTTATGCTGAATTGTTTTTAGAGAAAAAGCGGACTATTTCGAAATAACAAAACGCTATCGTAATCTATACATTCCTTCAGATTTCTTCTTCAGCAATATAAAGTGGCCAAAATCGTTTCCTCCAAACAAACCATTTTCGATACAGCGGCCATGTTCATTTCATATTTTGCACAAAGAAGTTGAATATTCTAATATTGAGGATGACAATGAACCAAAAGATTTGGATTATAAGTTTTCCGCAAAAGTTATGTTGATGGCGTGTCCATCAATGGTAGAATTCTACAATAAATGCTTTTTTCAAGATGACGAAGACGAACGCGACTGTATGCATCCATCAAGATTAATACAATTTTTAGTTGGAACACGTAGTAAGGCTGAAACAATGGCCATTGGTGGCCCTTGGAGCCCTTCGTTAGATGGAGAAAATCCAGAAAGTGACCCTATGGTATTAATCAGAACAGCAATACGGAACTGTAAGGCTTTAACTGGTATTGATCTATCTAGATGTACGCAATGGTACGTAACAATTTTTAAATAATGGAGAAACTGGTAATATTTTAAATTATTTTCTGTTCTAATGTATTTTTTTAACTATTTAAACGTTTTTTTAGACAAAGATTTAGAAAATTTTGGACAAAATTTATTTTGACTTAAGTCCGTTGAAAAATGACGGAGTTAAATTTAGAATGTTTACATTGAATTTTTTTTAAATCTTTGTCTTGTTTTATATCTCATTATTAAGTCCCCAAAAAGTTTTGTCTATAAAATTCTTAAAAATTTAATATATACGTATATATATATAACATATTTAATTAACTTTAGTAGCTCTACTGGGTCGTCTTGTATATGTACATATCCTGTGTACAGTTTTTTTAATTGAAAAAGCAATCAATAACCCTTAAATTTATAGAAAATCAGGAAAATCAAGCGAAATGTAACTTATTATATTATATTTCTTTCTTGTTTATAAAAGCATATTACTTCTTAATTCAAATGAATATATAGAAAATTTTGTAATAACTGTGAATGTAATATACTTTATTTCAAAATTTACTTAAAATTTGTGAATAAAATTTTAAAGTAAAAAAAAAATTAAAAAAAAAATTAATAATTTATTTTACAATGATCAAATCACAACCCAAATTGAAATTTAAATTGAAATCCAAAACTCCTCAACTTACATAGGTATCGCTTTGTGGAACTGTACTACCATCGGGCTGAATCTGTTAATAAAGGTCAAACAATTCCAGCGAGGGTTGAGACAGTTGTGATTTTCTTACCTGATGTTAATTCTTGCATGCCAACGCCATCGGAATGGAAAAAATCTCAGCTGCATTATCAGTTCAAATTGAATCAAATATTAAATAAAGGTTCATGTACTTCAAATGACAATTTAGTGGTAGACACTGCTAACGAAGGTCAAAACTTGGGTAAAGGTGCCACTAATGATGGCGGTGGTGACTCCTCAGGAAACATTACTGCAGGAACCAGGGACAATATCGCAGACAACAAATTGGATACAAATAACATGGATTCAGCGGCTGGAGATGTAAAGACACAACACTTTTTTTTAATTTTTTTATTTCTTTTTAAAATTTGTTTTAATTTAAATTGTTTTACCATTTAATATCCTAGATTTAAGTCTTCTAGAACATATAGATAAAAAAAAATCAAATTTTTTTTTCAATTTGAAACAATGACGAACTGAGTTTTATAATTTTATATTTATTTTTTTCATTGTAATTAAATTTTATTTTATGGAATACCAATATCTCAATACTCTTATAATGAAATATTCAATAATTCTGTACTTTATACCATAATATAATAGTTCTTATTTGCAAATTAACAAATTAATCTTGTTTTCAACTTGCATTTACGATTACACCGTACAATGTGTGTGAACGCTAAAAGTTGAACAAATTTAATAATTTTTATATAAAAAAAAACAAAAATTAGCGGCCGTGGTTTATAGGTTATGTTTTATATTAGTTGCAAACAAAAAATTCACACTTTTAAGGGAATCAAGTCATTAACCCTAAAATAATTCAAAATTAATTTTGTTTCTTCTTCTATGCCGATGAAAAAAAACAGAAAGAGGAAGATTCTCCAAAAGGTACGCATTATTCAAAACTGGATCCAAAAGCCATGAAAATACAAGCTCTGCGAGATGAATTGGAAGCTAGAAACTTGGAATCTAAAGGTAAGCATGTAATTTTTTATGCATCCCTTTTTAATGCAAGTCAATGAATAGAACTTTGTTTTGAAACCGGTTACGTATCTGGCTTTTTCAGTAATTTATTTAAATACAATCTGGCTAGGAAGGAGAGACACACATTTAAATCATCAAAAAAAAATTAATCTATTAAACACCTTTTTTTTAATTCTACAGGTTTAAAACCTCAACTGATTGCACGTTTAACAAAAGTTTTGAGAAATGAAAAAGCTGCTGAGGAAAATAAAAGGCTTGATGATGCGGAAGATGATGAGGAAATGGATCAAGAAGATTCCAATGTTGACACTATACAAAGTATGAATACAGAGGATTCAAAAAAAGAAGAATCGGAAGACGAATCGGTTAAAGAACCTCCTCCGCCAGGAGAAATAGATTTAACCGACATGGTCGTATTGGATGAGTATGATTCCAACAAGTATCATAGCAAAAATGTATGAAAATTAATTAAATATGAAATATTATTTTTATTAAAAATTATAAAAATTTTTTAAGGTTCAAAGAGCGAAAGATATTGAAAGAAATCAGCTAAAGCGGCGTTATACACTGCCTGACTCACCACACATAATAGTTTCGCCATCTAAAACAGTGAAAGGCGGTCGGTTTGATTGCAGTGTTATGTCATTATCAGTTTTGTTGGACTATAGACCAGAGGATAAGAAAAAACAGTCATTTGAGGCAATTCTTTTTGAACTTAAATTTCATTCTTATTAATTATTTAAAAAAATTTTAGGTCTCAATATTTGCTGAACTTTTTAATGAAATGTTAATGCGAGATTGTGGTTTTGAGATATATAAAGAATTGTCGAGAGTAATCGAAAGAAACACGCAAAAGGAAAAGGAGAAAGAAAAAGAAAGAGAAAAAGAGAAAGAAAAAGAAAAAGAGAAGGAAAAGGAAAAAGAAAAGGAAAAAGAAAAAGAGAAAGAGAAGATAAAGGAGAAGGACAAGCTTGATAAAGAAAAGGATGTAGATAAGAAAAAGGTAACCCCTGATTCCGTCGATGAAAAAATTGGAAAAGAAACTACAGAAAAAAAAGCAATTGTCGAAACTTCTTCAAGTGACTTGAGAAAAGAAAAAAAAAGTGAAAGACATTCGAGGGATCGTTCAAGAGAGCGTAGATCATCCAAGTCCCGGGATCGAAAAAATTCGCGGGATCGTTCTCGTGACAAAGAAAAGCGAAAACGACCTCGTAGTGAATCTGATGACGAAGAAAAACGTAAAATTAAAACCTACGTAGCAAAGAAAAATTTATTGTTTTCATTTATTTATTTTGACACAACTAATTGTGGTTTTATTTATGAAAAGAACTTAGAAGATCTCTTGTACGTTATTGGTCTTAATTTGTCCAGAAATCAAATAAAAAATTTTTTGGGGAAAGCTATAAAGAGAGATCCATTATTGTATCGGTAAATTTTGGGCTTTGTTTTAAATTTGCTTAATTTCTTTTTAACAAAAATTATTTTGCAGAAAATTAACGGATAAACCAAAAGAAGACGACAAGAACAAAGATGGCGACATGAATATAGATCCCATGTCAATGAAAGAAGATGAAGAATTCCCTGAAGATGTTGTACCTGGCAATATGTATGCTTGTCCTACATTCGAAGAAGTGAACGAAACCGTAAAACAGTCGAACAGTAATGAGGAAAAAATTTGTAATTCTGAAATTGTGATTTTTAACGGTGCTGTATTGGATGTGAACAAATTACTCGAACAAGAAAAACGTACGGAAAAGGCGCGGGAAGAAATAGAAGAAGTTCTTGTAGAATTAAAATCTAAATATCATGATTTAACGAACTCACATTCAAAATCTCAAACAAAAATCAAGGATTTGCAAAAGGAAGTCAAAGGTCTAAACAGAAAATTAAAGGAAGCCGAAGATTCGTTATTTTCGTACATGGTACCTTAAATATAAAATGCTTTTCTCTATGATACTTGTAGCGATCTATTTAGTTTTGCATTGTTTTACCTTTAAAAAAAATTTTTTTAGTTCCAAGTTGTTTTATTGATTTTAACTTAAAAATGGTAGATTTTTGTTTTCTAGTGTTAAATGTATCGTTAACCTTTTTTAAATTGCAACCGCATATGGTTTATTGAAGAATTTTTTATAATATTTTTTTTAGCGAAAATACAATGAACATCACGCACTTTTACAAAATATTCATGACAAGGTTTCACCCATCTTTAGACGTGACAGAGATCGTGAGCGCGATCGAAATGAAAAGAAGGCTGAAGACCGCGGAGATAGCAGTAATAATAATGAACGCAGTACAAGTAGCACACGAGCAATAGATTGTAAAAGTGACACAAAAGATGAAGTAGTTATGAATGAAGTTAAAGAGGAAAATGTAAAAGAAAAAGCTACAGAATAACTCAGAAATAAAAATTTATATAATTTATTGTTTCATTAATAAAAATAACCTATTCATTATAACAAAATTTATACATATGCATAATAAGTATCAAAAATTGTAATTTGAATTTAATGTAATAACGTTCTTTCATATTATATTTTGTTTAAATACTATTTTTACTCAAAAATAATCTATTTTAAAAAAGTGATTTGTGAATGAAGGATACGATAAAAAAAATTGTCAAAGTATAAATAAATTTGTGTTGTATTATTATTATCAAAAGCTAACTTAATTATTTAACAGAAAAAAATAGAAAGTAATTCCGCCCTGAAAAAGTTTTCATTGATTTCAGCAGTTATTATAAAGAAACGATCAGGCATGACTTTTTAAGAGTCATTTAGTGAGATCATTTAATCAGATGTGTTATTATTGGAAAGTTAAGTATGTATTTTGGTTTTTAGAATAGAATTTCTAATCCGAATTTCGAAATTAATTTCAATCAGAAAATTGCAAAAATTTGAAATAACTCATCAACTCATTTGCTTTCAAAATGAAGATGGGATGTGGTATATAATTTTGCAAAACACATTTCAAACAATCTAAATTTAATAAATAATTTTGTTTTTCAATCAAAAAGTTAAGCATGATCGTGTATCTCGTTATTTTAGTTGTCAAGTGAGAAGAAAGTAATTTAAGCAAAACCGAATATGGTATTTTACTATTTATTAAACAAGTAGATTGAAAATTAAAAGATATTTTACTTTCCAAAATATTAATTGATGTAAAAATTCCAAATATGTATAATATATATTTAGTAGGTTTTTTCTATTAATTGCAAAATATTTAAAAAAATTTTTCTTCCTTTTGAAATACCTTCCATGCTTTAAGTACTTTAAATTTATGAAGTTAGAATAATGAAACATTTTCATTTAAAATTTATAATATTTAAAATTTAAAAATAACAAAATTTATTTCATTTAAAATTTATAACATTTATAATTTTTAAAATAATATTATTTCTTATTTAATCTTTTATTACAATTTATAGATAAACGCAATACTGCAAAACAATAACTTCGAAACGCCATACATACTGCAAAAACATAACGTGATGAATAAGCAATATAACTATTCTATATAATCGAAACAGTTCATACCTTTGATTTAACTGCGCTGACGGCTGACTGAAGACTTTTTGTAATGTAAGACTGCGCATTACTTATACTAATTTTGATATATTGCGATGTTTACGGAAAAACTTGATAAGCAACATTTGTTTACGAAAGCAAATATAGCACAGTTCTCGCTATATATCGCAATACATATATTGCGTTTTATTATGTTTAATTAAAACTGCAATTTTTGTAGATTTAATATCTTCTAATAGAAGAAATTTTATTAACTTTATTTCTCTTTTTATTATTTAGACTAAGTGATAAATTTTCTTATTTTAAACAAAAATTACATTATATTTGCTATCATAATTAATTATAAGTACCATTATTATGTATATATACATACATTATTTAAGATATTATATTATTAATTCTTTTTTGTTTTTTATTACAATGCAATCAGATAAGGAATGAAAATTGTGTGAAAATTTTCAAATAAAAAAATAAAAAATCTTAAATTTTACAACAAATTTTACAAATATAATTCCAATTATGTATATTTAAAATCAGATTTTTGTAAAATCAAAAAAAATGAAAATGTTAAGAAAGTCTGTAGTGCTGCAAAAGCACTTAAACCTGATATGAATATGATTTTTGTAAAGCATCCAAATTTAATAAATTTCAATAATTTTTTTTTGTAATAGATACTTTGAAACGTTTGGAGAATTTTGGATAATTCAGATGCTTATGCACCTAAAGATCTAACTTAAATCTTAAATATTTTTTTTTGCATCATTACAGATCTACAGGAACTAACTAGTTTACTTTTTTAGATTTTTAATATCATAAATTTTTCGATGTAATTTTTTCCAAACTTAATACATATATTTTTTTTGCACTTAAAAAAGTCATTAAAAATACTCTAGAACTTTAAGTATGCTACGATTTTCGGACGACGTACTTCTTTTCTAATAAAAATTTATAGAAATGCTAAATTTGAAGATATTCTAGTTTTGATTTTTCATGTTTGCTTTATATTAAAATTCTAAGTTAGAGCTGAATTTTGAAAATCCCAATGCTTATTTTTTAACTCGCTTAACTTCTACTGAATATTAATAATTAATATCAATTAAAATATAAACGGATTAAAAAATTAAGCGTTAACGTTTCTTATAGAATATATATATATATATATATTTATATGTATATAAATATATTATTTTGTCATATAATATATAATATACTTAATATACATATAAATAATTTATTTATTTTGTTGTTGCAAAAATCTGATTTTTTTTTTTTTTGATAAATATTTAATTCAAAAGTATAAATTTAAATTTGTAACTTAAATTTTACTCAATAATAGCTAACATAATTCTTAAAAAATGGAATAAAAGATAAATCCTTCACTATAATTGCATAATTATTAAAAAAATATTTTAACGATAAAATAATTAGTTTCTTTATCAGTACACAAATTTTAAAAATATTAAACTGCATAAGAAAATACAGGAGGATGTGATCAATTTTTAAATGTTCAAAGTTTTAGAAGAAAAAAAAAATTGCTTCTAACTTTTTTAAAAAAAATAATTTTAAAATGTAGAAATATTAATTTAATAATAATAAATATCAATATATTTGCCTTTCTACTCTCCACACTATATTTATATGAGTACCATGCACTCTTTCCTATAAATGGCGAATAAATGACGAATGACTCCTCTTTCTCCTTTCCTTTAAAAGACGACACTTGTTGCTTGTTAACTAATAGATTGTTAGTGATTTGCGACTTTAATATATTTTTTGGGCCTTTTGGCGAAATGCTTGACAAAAGCAACAGTCGTCTCATATACATATCTATTATCATTATTAAGCTTATAATATTATATTATTATTTTATACGAAATACGTTTTTAATGTAATAGGTAAAAGAAATTCAAATATTTGGAAAAATTTCAGAATGAAATATTTGGAAAAACATTCAAAATGAATATCTAAATATATAAGATATTTATATTCTTGAATATATTTTAAAAAGTATTAATATAAATAGCTAAATATATATGAATATATATACATATATTTGTTTTAGAGCGTCAAAACTTAAAACATTAATATTGATTTAATTAAATATGAAAATTAATTGGGATTCAAGTTGAGTTTATTCCTCCTTCATTAAAGCCGGTCTGGTAGGCAATTGAATTAATTTAAAAGTTGATTATAAGTGTAAAATATACTTTACGTCACGTCACGAACAGCTGCACCTTATAGTTTAACCAAAACTTTCTAAATTTAGTCATTATCACTTTATATAGCCATTTAAAAAGTGTGACCTACAAACAATCATACAACAATGGGACTTTTATTATAATACATAATAATTATAATAAGATTGAACTTTTGCGGAACCAAATGTTTTAAAAATATTTACTCCAATTAGTACTACAAAAAATTATATAATATTGTTGAAATATACAATTACAATATACACCTACATATATTTAAAAATCAATCAATTTTTTTTACAATATTTCAATTTATTAAAATTAAATTCTATATAGTTAAAGAGCTCGTAAATAATATCAATTAAATATTAAACAAATGTTTAAACGTTTATAGGAAAATGCAAAGTCATATGTAATTATTATTGAGCGAAGGATTATTTATCCTTTTTTTTAAATTATTTAATTAAATGTGGTATAAATCAACAGATTTTATAAAATAAAAAAGTTAAGCAAATGCTAAATATATAAAACAATTTTTCTTAGTATGAGAAAACTATGAGCAAGTTTTTAATTTAGTTTTTTTCTTTATTGCACATAACAATTTTTATTATATAAAAAATTGTGAAGATATTAATTTACCCATATTCTTTTGTAGTAATGGGATACTATTCAAAAATGCAATTTCGAATATTATCCCATTGATGTGTTCTAAAAAGAATATGAATGGATTATTTCAAGAATGTTTTAATAAAATTTAATAAAAGAGCTTTTAAATAATTTGAAATTTATAAATAATAAGTGTGCTTGCCGGCATATTTGATTTAGTTAGATTTTTTTTTTATTTAAATTAAAACATTCATTTTTTATGTCTTTTCTACATATATTTATCGACATGGTCGTTGATTATGAAGTTTTGATTTTTTTTTTTGACTTATTTCATTAAATTTTTTATACTATAAATCACTATTTTTAATTTTTTTTTCTTATATGTATGTATTATTATATTTTTTAGTAATAAATTTATTTTCTAAATTAATATGTTTTGTTTTTTTTTTTTTGTATTTTTTTGCCATAATGAAAAAATAGTCTAGCTATATTTTATATTATTCGTTCTTGATATATTTTATAGTTAATTATAATATGATTTTATTATTTTTACATTAATTTAGGTACATTTTTTATTATTTAACGCAGTTCGAATATTTTAAATTTAGAATAAAAAAAAATTAAGTACAAACAAAAGTAATAAAAAAAATACTGAATAAAATGGTAAAAAATAATATTGCATTGAACTGATTATAAAATGAGAAACAAATTTAAAAATGTTGTTTCCAGATGAGCTAAATTATAAATTAATTTATTTGATATTATCGAATATATGTGTTTAGTAGAGCAATCAATATGGACCTTAATATCATTGTATTTCTTCAACGTTAATACTTTCTTATTATTTCCCCCTCATACCTATTAATTTTTCCATTAAAGAGGTTTTTTTATGTAAGTTTCTAATTTGCATTGGCTTACAAAATATTTAAAATAAATATCATAATAATTTTGAATTTTTACATAAGAACATACATTACATTAATGTATATTAAATTTTTTAACTTAAAACTTATGTAAGATAACTATAGCTTAATTATCGGTACAAATGTCGTTTTTATCATTAAGCAAAAAATTTCAAAAGAAAATTTTATTAATAAAGTTATAAAATCTTATTACTCAATTAAATGAAATACATATTGGCCGCATTTTTTTTTTCTTATCATTATCACTATTGAATTAAAACAAAATTGAGTAAAGAAACATTTTTGGGATACAGTAAAATCAGTTAAATAAGTGAATTTTTACAAGTGATGTTGTAATAAGAAATTCATATAAGCATTAGTTTTTTGGTATTGTATCATCTACGTTATAATACGAAAGATAGATTTGCCAATTCTCTTTTGCTGTGTTTTACAAATTAAAAAAAGTTTTGGCTTATTTGTATATATATATTTTTCTTTGAATCATAAATATTTTTGTTTTCTAATTTTTCCAATTAGAAAACAATTACAATACACATTGGTTACATGTGTGCATCGTCAATGGTGATACTTTTAAAAAGGTCCACAATTAACTAATTATTATGAATTTTGCCTTGAAGTCTTTAAATATTAAAATTAGAATTTTATACACAAAGTTTTTCCTCAGCTGTAATTTTAATTTTTGATTATATATCAAGAAGATTTGTTGAATTTTCCACAATATGTATATATAAGAATATTTATAATAACAAAATTTTTTTAGTAGAGAATTTCATAAAATATGTATTAATTTTTGTTTAATAAATTTCCCTTAAATTGTCTTAATAACTTTAAATAGTTAATAAAATACATTTTTTTATTGAAATGATTCGATTTTTTATACTATAAAATTCTATTTACATATTTTAATATTATATATTTTACTTTACAAATAAAGTATGTATTATAAAAATGCTTATAACATAAAATATAGTTTATAAGAAAATGAAAACTTAAAATAATTTAAATACATATTTATTATAATAATTAATGGTTTAAAATAATTTTAATAAAAAATATTTTGCATGTTTTGAGATTCTGTCATTAAATATAATAATAATCAAGTAATAATGCGCTCATTTGAACATTTTTTAAAAGCAAATATTATTAAGATTCGGATTTCCAAATTGCGTTAAATTTAAAAAGAAAAAAAAATATATATATATATATATATATATATATGTATATAATATGTTTATGAATAGTACGTATAAACATAAATGAAAAAGTAGAATTCAAAATTCTATTTGCAATTTTTTTTTAATAATAAATACATAATTATTTTTTTTTTACTCTAAAATGCAATTTAAAATGCTTTATCAAAAAGCCGAAAAACTCTCTGAGCTCATTCAAAATTTCAACCTAAAGCTTTTAAACTTAAACTTATACTATTCGTACAATATTATAAATAATTATTTTCCGTTTTAGTCTTAAAACACAAAATATTTTAAAATAAGAAATTTGGATCAAAGTTCAATATAAAAACAAATTTAATATTTTAACATCTTTTTCAAAGATAGATTTTTGTGAAACAACCCTTTATGTTTATGAGTATTATTTAGACTTCGAAATTGAAATAATACTGCATTTAACTTATACAATTTAACTTATAAGTTGTCATTGTTAAAAGTGTATTATCGTATTACCGTATTTATGCAAGTTTGAAGTCAGGGATAATATATACACAATATTCCTAATAGCATTTATGTAGCGATAATATTAAGAATATAAAATATACAATATTAGAAATATCTGCAATGACAAACAATCCCAATATTATTTAAGAATCTGTTTGATAAAATTTTATATTAATTAGCGAATATTCAAAGACGAAAATTCGTTCAACCAAAATTCTTAATCGTCTGAGATTATGGATAACTAACTTTCTAAGTTTATTTAGCTACTGTAAGATTAAATTGTAAATAGCCAGAAATTATTATAAAAATTTAATACCCAAATGTTTTTTGTGAAGTAATAAATTTTACTTTAAACAAAATAATTCAAATAACATGACTGGCTTTTTGGGTATTAAAGATAAAGCAAAAAACCAGGTTTTGAAACAGAGATTTTGTAAATTTAAAAAAATTCCAAATTATAACAATAGGGAAAAATACTTTTGGTCACACAGTTTTAATACACTTTCACGTATATACCTAATAATACACTAGTAAATTGTAAGTGTAAAATGGTATATCATTTATTTGTATATGGTATATCATGTATTTGATTTAATATCAGATATTTTGATAATATTCTTAAACTTAAAGCTAGGTCCTAAATTTGAATACATATTTTTTCGATTTTCGAAATTGTCCCGAGTCAATAAACCATTGGTGTAAAAAAAAACAAATAAATTATAATATCATCATAACGACATTAAGTCTAACATAATGTGTAAACTTTTTTCAATAGTAATCTGATAGTTTTCTTTTAAAAGAATTTTAAAATAAAAATCCAAAAAGAAAATTAAATTTAAGCTTCTTCAACATCACCACCAGTTGGACGTAATACAATTCTGGGATCGGAATCTAACATACGATCAGATTCTTCTGCACTACTTAAACTAATGTTGCGTGTTTTACATGATATGTAAAAAGAAAAGAAAATAACATTATAGATGTATAAGTTGGTATCCGAAAATTGAAAAAAGAAAGATAAACAAATTTTCAAGACAAAAATTAATAATTTACCAATCCTTATTATCTGGCATTAGATTTCTTCTTTCTTCATCATCAGGTCTTGGTAATTCTGATACAGGTGCATATTGTGTATGTGATACCAATGGATCTGTGGATGGATTTAATGGCATTATTTGGATGGATTTAATTGCATAACCACTAGAACATTGTAATTGGCGTGCAAGACCTTGTTTTTTGCTGATGTAACATGGACATACACAATTACGTCTCCAGTCTGCTATTTTGAGGTAAAAACCTTAAAAAAAAAAAAACAATTTTATGCTAGAAGCGAACACTTTCATAACTAAAATTTAAAAGCAATGAATAAAGCCTTTAAAAAAAACATCATAATGTACAATCTACATATGTATATATAATTTAATTTAGGCTTTGAATTGTTAATGAAAATATAATATTTATTATGCGAATTCATTATTTTATAAATTATTTAAAGAAATCATTTTTGTACCTACCAAGCAAACAAAATCCAATAATTGTTATTAATACACCACCAACAACTACTCCAATGTCTATACCTTCAGATGTTTCATTTGTTTTAAAACCTAATTCTTCTTTATGTTCTTCTGTATCAGCATAATCAGCAGCTCCATCTGCTATCATTGCAATACCAGCTGCAATTGATAGTAATGCAAATACTAATAATGCTATTTGTGCCATTGGTTTTCTTAATATTTTCATTGGAGATACAGATGCAGTTTGTGCTAAAAGCCCACTTGGACGTGTTTCATAAGAAACAGTAGTGGGCTGATAAACTGGTCCAGTTGATGGCATTTTGGCATATATGTGTGAAATATTGCTCTAAAAATAAAAGAAAATTTAAAATTTTAATATAAATTTTATTTTCTTCTATATTATTATGTTTATTACCATGATATAACAAGAAAAAATGAAATATAAATAAAAATGAGAAAAAAAAATTGTTTGTAGTTTCTTTTTTGGGTATTTGGAAAGGAAAATTTAAAATAATAATAAAAGACAAATAACTCTTTGAGATGTTGCACTTTTAGCGACGCCTACACTAAAAACAAAAAGATAGGTAATAGTAACTAGTTAACTAACTAGCTTGGTTCTGAGTCATATTTTATAATTTCCGCTCACGTACCATATTTATTTTTCTTTTTTAATACTTAAGTAACACAATTTACTTCATGGATATTTGATTTCTCTATAAGGAACATCCGCTCTTTTCTTATGTACACACTCAAGTATACATACGTTATATAATATTTACGTTAATGCAAGTACATTATTATGCTGGATTGCCGTTTGTTATCAAACTATTGTTTAATGATTTAAAAATAAATTTTTTTTGCATTTTATCTCTCTATATTGCATTTTATCTCTATAAATTATCGGTTAATCATAATTACAAATATTTAAAAAATTCATAGTTTTCCATCACGAGAAAATTAATTATTTATTTTTTTCGCATACTTATAAGATACTATACATATATATAAATTAGATATTAACTATACTATAAATTACTTATACATATTATGTAAAAATTGTAACTTAATACCAAAAAGACATTCGAAATACGATTTTATACCAAATTCGAAATACGGTTCAATTCAAAAATAGTTACACTAAGAAAAAATATTGTGTATATAAATGCAACAAAGTACAATACAATTTTTTTTATTGATTAACACTTAAGAAGTCAACCAATGCTTTTAACATAAAAGTTACAATATTTGGTAAAATCTTTCATATTTATAGATTTTAATTTTAAATAATTATTTTGAACTATTTTTTCAATAAATATGTATATTTATTTATCAATTTTGAGTTGTAATTATAAAACAAAAAAATACAAAACAAGAGCAAATTTTCAAAGGCATTCTCAGACAATGTTTTTCATTACAAAAGTAAACCATTTAAATTTAATTACAATTATTATTGTATTTATTATAACTACCATTTCGTAATATAAAAAAATTCTTCAAGCAGAATTCAATTTAGTTCTTTAACTTGAAAATACATAATTGATAAATTAATAACATCAATACGAATCCACTTTATTATTTTTTTTAACAAGAGATCGATTAAGTTAAAAAAAAAATTTGCTTAACAAAATATTTTAAATAAATAGCATAGAAACGGTAACTATGTACACAGATACTTGCGTGGAACGTGGAAGTAAAATTTATACAAATAGGAGATTGGAAAATCTTTGAAAATAACAATGTTTTTTGAATGCAACATACATACATTTACAGACCTATACAAAATAATTGAAGAACTTAAAATAAACGATTTCGAAAAACAGATTAAAGTTCGAAACCGATTTTCAAACCACGTTGAAAAAAAATTGTAAAAACTCTTGAGAACTTGTCAATAATGTCATCAAAATTACTGAACACTACAAAAATGCCAAACTGGATTAAGCAAAAGTTGATTGTTTTTCTATTGCTCCAAGTCCCTAAAAGTAATTCCTAAGTAGCCTATTCAAATTTGCGAATTAAAAAAATACTTTAGATTGAATGATTTCTAACAAAATTTTATGATATAAAACTTATTAAACAAAATTGAAGATGTCTTCTGAAATTGTTGCTTTTTCGTAAACAATGGGCAACAAATCCAAATATTATGATTGGAACGTAAAATTTCAAATTAATATTTTTAACTTTAAAAGGTTTAACTTTTATTAAAGTCTGAAATTCATAATTAATACCCATTACAATAATGTAAATGTGCCTTACACAATTTTTTTATAAAACATTCAATCTTTTATTATTCATTCAGAGAATTTCGTTGAATCTATATAAAAAAACATTTTGAATTTCCAAGAATTAATTAATTAAACTTATGTAAGTTAGCTTCATAGTTTTTTGGAAGTGAAGTGAGATTAACTAAATTTATATTTTGAATGTAGTCTAAGCTATAGAGAATGCAAAATTTATTTTAACATAAAGGGCATCAAACTAGCAATTATTGTAACTAACATATTAATATGAAATAATTATCTAACAAAGTAATAAAGCCCAAAAATTAAATAATACAATTGTTATATTGCAAATTTTGCATTGCACAGTAGGTAATTGAAGTATCAAAACTATGTAATATTTAGAATAAATACCTAGAAATCTTAAGCTGATCTAATTTCTTAATCGCTGTTTAAGTATAAGGATTGTGCTCAATCCGGTTAATTTTGAAATGTGATTGATCTATATGACTATTTATTTTTATAGCTCGAAAAATATATTATTAACAATATCAAAATAGGTATGACGTCACGTATTGTACTTTGACAGTGAATGAATAACGTTAAAAGTAGAATAACCTTAGAAAAAGAAAACAATACACAAATATAATAATTTAAGTATGTATGCCTAGTTAAAGTAACTTAAAGAATACAGAACTAAAATAGTAGTTTATATTAAACGTAATAAAATTAGTAAATTTAAAAAGAAAATAAAATAAAAAATTATAAAAGTGTTTTATTTGAATTTATAATAAATGTACACATGTAGGTATGTAATTATTTAAGTATGTACTCGTATATATAAATACCTAACATTTTTAAAATTTTTTACTCATTAGGTGTAAACGTCTACTTACACCGTAAACAAAGACACCATTAAAGATTGAAGTTCTATTAAAAATATTGAAATAAATTGAAATTTTCTTTAATTCTATATTCGTTATCGTTATTGTTAATTTTAACCTACTAGATATGTACTTATAATTGTAGTTGTTACCTTTTGTTTTAGAGCCATATTTCAGCGATTACTCAGAAAAAATTTCATAATAATGAAATAAGCACTCAATAATAGTTACACTCCAATTGATGTAATAAATTTTACTAACATTGTAAAAAAATAATTTTAAATGATTTTTGAAAATTATTTTATCAAGCAAACTGTCAATTCGAAATACAAAATAACCATTTAATAGGTATAGGTAATCTATTCTCACTTAAGTATAGATAGGTAACTATATTTATCCAGGTATATTTCTTTTATTCCATATACATAATATATGTATATGTAATTGAACATAGAGAAGACCAGAAGAGGTGAAGGTTAATAATAATGTAATGAATAAATTATGTATTTATATATATGAGCATATATACAAACTCTATATTATATTGTAGGTTATTAATTATTATACTATTATATATTAAAGGAGAATAGTTAAAGAACGTAAAAAAAAATAAATAATCATAAAAAAAATGAAAATCGAAAGCTTTACGTTGCTTTTATTTCATTTTTTTTTAAATCTTTTCAGAATCGTTCATTCGTACACATTACCTAGGTAAATTAACACAAAAGACTGGTTATGATTCTTTTTTTTCTTTTTTTCTTTTTGCAATTTAACCTGTCTCTTGGTTAAATACAAATTAGCCATTAATTTTCTTTTAGCAAATGTTTTTTTTTTCTTACACATTTAAAACTAATATTTTATTATTTAACAAATTTTATTATTTATTATTAAAATATATATATATCTTTCATATTAAATACCTTATTTTGGGACTTGTAAAATGAATATAAAAAGTTGCTTAAGCACAAAAGTGATGATTCAACACCGAATAATATAAATATAGTTATTGAAAATTTTTTCACTTTTTGTAATAAAACAAAACTTTATTGGGATTTAATATATTATATTATGAGAAATTTATATTTTTCTTTAAAATTTCTTAATAATATTTATATTTTTAAACGAAGTTTTCCTTCATTTACACACAAATATGAAACAAATGAGATTTTTAACACTTAAGTGTTGCCAAAATATTTACAAAATAGTAAGAATTAGAGGCGCTATTCGTGGTAAAATTTAAAAGTTTTTTTTTCACATTTAGATGAATTCACACTATAAAATTTCCCTGGTTTTAAAACAGAAAAATAAAAGCGTTGGAAAACGGTTATGATTTGTTTTTACGTAGTTTGTAAATGGGACGGTCTTTTCCAGTATTTGAGTAAAACATAACATTATCTTTTTGATATAACCATTTTTTTCACATAATTTTTTTGCGTTTAAATATCAATCTAATAAAAAAAGACAGTTCAAAAATTGAACGCCGAAATAACAGAAAAGTTAAAATTCCATCTGTTATAAATCAGAATTACTAATTCTACCTACCAGAAAAAGTAACAAAACTGCACAAATCATCTACGCATTTGTTCGAGGCTGTAAAGTTGTGCTACATATATTTTAAACATGCATACATACCACTAATTTGTTGACATATTGAACAAATTATTAAAATGTAAAACAGTAATGAATGTTATATAAATTTGCTTACCAATAACTTAAATACATAAACCCTCGGTCACCTAAAATTTAATTTTGTATTTTTAATTTTGAAAGTTAGAACAATTAAATCAAAATCATATGTAAGAAATTAAGATTTTCAAAAGAGGCATGAACAACTCTTATACTAGGTTATTGGAATAATTATTGTTTAATATGTCTGTTGAACAAACCTATAATTCATCAATGACGTTACGATAAAGTTAACTGTCAAAAAGACAATTTTACAAATATAATATACTATTTTTAAAAGTCATTGCTTCTCTTACTATAAATTAATTTAGATTTGTGAATTAAAGAATTTTGAAGATGGTATTTAGTTGCGTTAAGAAAGTTTGAAAACGTTAAAAATAATATATTTATTTCAGGATTTAGCTTTGTACTCCAAACAACCTAAGGCTACCCAATTAGATATTAACATCAATCCTGGGGGACCAACTCAAAAAAATGCTCTTTCTCAATCAAGTAACGATCATGTATTAAAGCTAGCTCAAAAAGATTACGATATGAATCATCACAATATAAATATGCAAATACTGAGGAATCGTGATGGATTGCACGCACCCTTAAAGTTGTCGATGGAGATAGCTTCGGCAAAAAAAATTGGAAGATTACCTTTTTTGCCATCAAGGTATGTTCCTTATTTTATTTCAATATAATTTATGTAAACTTTAACTAAATACATTTATGTTTACTACAGCAATGTTATGTTGGATGTTTTAACTGGACGTGACGAAATAATTGATTTCTCAGATTACTTAGGCACAGAAGATACTTTTGAAGATCTTCGACAACCACATGCGGTAGTCGAAAAACACTTGGGTGTATTCGAGTGTCGTTAATTTTTTATACAAGAAAATACATAATACAAATATCTTTCAAATTATTTTATTTATTCAAAATTGTTTACGTCAGATATGAATTTATTTACAAATTTTAAGTAGGCACTTAGGTAGGTCTACTTGCTACATGGCAAGTTTAATTTTTTGGTTGAGTTTAGTTTTTCTTCAACTTTCTGTAGAGCTCAATTGTCTTAAAACGTTCTTTTTCTATCATGTCTCGTGCGGCAAGGGTTAAGTTTTTTCGTTTTCCTTTAAAATTAGGACTAATGTTCTTTTTAATTTTTGGTTTTTTTGCAAGTGTATTTTCATTTATTACACTCTTTAATAACAAATCTCTTTTCCCAGGCTAAAATATAAAAAAATGGGTAATAATTTGATAAAATATTGTGATTAATTATTACCCTTGGAACAGTTTCACTTTTCTCTGCCTTTTTTGGTACTACGGAAAATGTAGGTGGAGCATTAACTACTTCACCAAATTTTATATAATCCGTTTTAAACTCTGACAATTCTTTTTTATGCTATAATTTAAGAAATGTTAATTGTTTTAAGCTCATAACAGATTTTAATTGTATTTACTTCTAACTTCTCTTCTTTTAATACTTGCTTTATCAACTCCTTTGAAACTTTTGGATCCAAGGCATTTTTATATTTTTTATTATTTTTATTTGGGGGTTGTAATGATTCTTTAGATTTTTTTTTTACGGTAACTTCACCTGTTTTCGAGTTTCTATGGACTTCGACACCATATTTGATTTCATATTCAGCTTCTTTTAATGATTGTGTTGTTGCACGATTGATTCTTTTCAAATAATTTTCGTCGTCTTCGTTAGGTAATCTTTTAATAGGTTTTATTTTGTTTCTTATATGTTTTGGTTTGTCCTCAACTCCAATATTATATTTTTTCTTTACTATCCCGCGTTTAGCTTGTTTTTTACCTTTTATAATTTGCGCTAGGCTATAGGGTATTTTTTCTTGTTCATTTTGTTTTGGTGGATTATTGATTTTGTCTTTTATTCTAAAATGTTTTTCGTTATTAAATACAATTCTCTGTCACTTCATACTAAATATTCAATTTTGAATACCTGTCTAACTGTTGTGCTTGCTGCTTCAAAGGATCCCTAATTCCATGATGTTTTCGAGCAGGAATTTTTCTTTTTACCATTTTGAAATTACTTCAAATAATAGAAATTGGTTTATAATATGTCCCCTCACGAGACCGTATTAAATCTCAGTTATATTATTAATAGTAAAAATATAAGTTTTGCCTCGTGAACGTGTTATTGTTCAAAAAAATTGTTTTTTGACAAATCGTATTTATTTTCTCATATGCTTCGACGTTGTCATTATTCTCAATATAACTGAGCGACTTTTTTTGTACTGTTTACATATAAGAGAAATAAAAGGTTAAATTTGGGATGATTGTTTACTTATCAGGCTGCCATAATTATTTGATAGAACCTAGAATCAAAATTTTGTTATAATGAAAGTAGTAAATTTTAAATTTTGATGTAAAGTTTCAAGTCTATTACAAATTTCAATCTGTTCTTTTAGTGTAAAAACAGAATCAAAACGGTGAGCGACAACGGCGGACGATTCCAGAATTAACACAGAACAAGAACGAAACAGTAAATTAAATATTCAGTATATTGCATGTCGCACTTACCCAGCATTTACACATACAAGTTACTTGCAAGCAAGTTTGTATAATATTAATTGTCAATTAGTTTTTCGAAATATCAAATTACTTGCTATTATGACGTAGGCGTTTAGCAAGTTAATTTTTGAAAATGTCTTTGAGAAGAAAACAATTAGCAATATATATAATTGTTTATAAATTTTAGAAACCATAAGTTTGCTAAGTTTAATTTTTTCAAAACAAAATTCAAAAATTTTAAATTAAAAAAAAAAAAAAATCAAAACAACAAATTTTTTTTGTGAATTTCTCAATATGTCAAATTACTTGCTCAAATTACTGGCAGCAAAATTTTCTTGCAAGTTGAACTGCAAGTAAACAAGCAAGTAGAAATATTTCAATGTGTTAGTAAAATTTTTGTATGTATTGCAACTTTCTTGCAAGTAACTTGTACGTGTAAATGCTGGGTTACGTGGAAACATATAAACATATGACGTCAAGAAAAAGCTGTCAGCGGTAAGATGCGATTTTTAACTACTTTACAGCCATACCATTCACGGCGGTAATTTTGCTTCACTCTGAGCAGTTCCCTTTATACGACTATATATGAATTTTGACACTTCGCAGAGGAATATCGCTCTTGTTTTATTTTCTTCTTGTCAAAAAATGACTTGAATAAAAGAAAATAATTTTTTAAACAAGTTATTTTAAAACTATCTTAGAGGCTTATTGTTTTTTATTAAAGGAATTAGCTGATATTCGTTTTTTTCACTTGTATAAGGGTGAAAGTTTTATATTGGATTCACCTTTTTAATTTTTTTTAATTAAGAAACAGCTGATTTTTCTGAAATTAAATTTTAACTTGGTTATTTTTTTAATTTTTGTCTCGTGAAGTAGCCTTACATTAAGGTATTGCAATGTTGAAATATTTTACTATTTTTGATCGAATTTTTGCACATTTAGTTAACAAGAATGCTTGAATATTTCGTCATTCTGGCAATATGCAAATAACACGTGAAACTTAGAAAATAAATTGTAATTTTTCTGTTTTGTTATTTATAGTTTTCATAATTATTAACAATACATGTACATACATATGTACATACAATTTTATAAATTCTATAATGTGTTTTACTGCATAGATAAGTAAAACAGATTTTAAAATTAGAAGTTTGTGGAGATTATCCCCGTTCAGAGCATTAAATATCATACTTGCGGTTTTTCTGAACCTTAAAATAATTTTTGTATTTCAATTACTTACATCTGCTGGGTGAATAAAAATGGTTAAGCCGCAATACAAAGTTGGTAAGTTTTAATATAATGTGCTGTGTACATACGTATAAAGTAGCTAATATACAGGAAATATTCAGGTTATGATTAAAATAAAAGTATACTTAGAACCTAGATATTTACCGAAATTTTGCTAATTTAAGTTTTATATTTATATTAACTGTAACTGCACTTTTTTTGCAATACATTATATTTTTGCAGCTGATATAAAATTAGCGGAATGGGGACGGAAAGCTATTATTATCGCAGAAAATGAGATGCCCGGTTTGATGGCATGCCGACAAAAATATGGTCCACTCAAGCCATTGAAAGGAGCTAGAATTGCTGGGTGTCTTCACATGACGGTCCAGACTGCGGTTTTAATTGAAACCCTCATTGAACTCGGAGCAGAGGTAAGCTCAAAATACTTGGGACAAAGGTTTTAATATCGAAAAATAATTATTTAAACATTGAAATACACACAGTAACATTGAAAATTAGAAAAAGCTTCTATCTCATTTTGGGGTCAAATGCCATGGTTGGTAGATAACAAAATATGTAGGTACATACGTACACAGTCAAATTTTTGTAATTTAACTCGTATTGAAAATGAACACACAAAATACCTAATTTTGTCTTTTTACATTTGATTCTTATTTAAAAAAAGAATTTTGCGTATATTTCGGCAAAACCTACCCTCCTGACAAAATGTAGATAAGAGTTTCCACAAAAAAAATTATTAAATACGTAATGCGGGTAGTATGTACATACTTATAAACTAAAAAAAACTTGGCCACATTTCCGTATTGTTAGTTTTTATTTTCTTTAATAATTTGAATTGATATCAAAATTTTTTGATTAATGTTTCAGGTTCAGTGGTCAAGCTGTAATATATTTAGTACACAAGACCATGCTGCTGCTGCTATCGCTGGTAAATTCAATTAATTATTTAGAAAATTAACCAATTTATTTAACAACTCTATATTTAGCCACTGGCGTCCCCGTTTATGCTTGGAAGGGTGAAACCGATGACGAATACATGTGGTAAGAGATTTATTGAACACAAAAATAACATTTTTAACTTTTTTTACTAATTCAGGTGTATTGAGCAAACTCTTGTTTTTAAAGATATGAAACCACTCAATATGATTCTAGATGATGGTGGCGATCTTACAAATTTAGTTCATGAAAAATTTCCACAGTACTTAAAGGAAATTAGAGGTCTCAGCGAAGAAACAACAACTGGTGTTCATAATTTATACAAAATGATGAAGGATGGGAAACTAGGTGTTCCTGCTATTAATGTGAATGATTCAGTTACTAAGGTATAACTATAAATAAGAAAATAGAAGTATTTTAAAACTAATTAAATATTTTTCAATGTTATTAGAGTAAATTTGATAATTTGTACGGATGCCGTGAATCTCTTATTGATGGTATTAAACGAGCCACCGATGTCATGATTGCCGGTAAAGTATGTTGTGTGGCTGGTTATGGTGATGTTGGTAAAGGTTGTGCTCAATCGTTGCGTGCTTTTGGGGGCCGAGTTTTAGTTACTGAAATCGATCCAATTAATGCTCTGCAAGCTGCTATGGAGGGGTACGAAGTGACAACGATTGAAGAAGCCAGTAAGGAGGCCATGATATTTGTTACAACCACAGGTTGTGAGCAGATTATACTTGGTGAACATTTTCTCAATATGAAAGATGATTCAATTGTATGTAATATCGGTCACTTTGATTGCGAACTTGATGTTGCTTGGCTAAATGAAAACGCCAAAGAAAAAGTTAATGTTAAGCCACAAGTGGATAGATACACATTATCAAATGGGAGGCACATAATATTGTTAGCTGAAGGTCGCCTTGTTAATTTAGGTTGCGCGCATGGTCATCCAAGTTTTGTTATGTCAAATTCATTTACAAATCAAGTTTTGGCCCAAATCGAATTGTGGACAAAACCTGGACAATATGATATTGGTGTACATGTTTTACCAAAAGTACTAGATGAAGAAGTTGCAAGGTTACACTTAGATAAATTAGGTGTAAAGTTAACAAAACTAACTGAGAAACAAGCAAAATACTTGGGTATTCCACAAGAAGGACCATATAAACCAGATCATTATAGATATTAATATCTAATAAAATACTTTTTGGTTGCATTTAATTCGCTTATTTTTTACAATTCAATAAACTATAAATTACACTAGAAAAAGTGTAACAATTGTAGGAAAAAAACATGCATTTTTACCTTATTAATAATAAATTTTTTTAGAATTTAAATCCTCTGATGGTTTTGGCCAGACAAACTGAAATGAATAATAGACAAGAAGTAATATTTTTTTTAAATATGAATAAACATGTGATTTGGGTTGAAAATTAAAAGGTTTAAAATATGTATTATTCGGCAGCCTGAATTTCAACCTACTTATCTGCGGGTCTTCCTAAGAATTATATTCTGCGTATAAAACATATTTATTTTGTTTCATTACTATTTGATTTTGTTTCATTCAATAATTTATTTATTTTGCTTTGGAATTGCTTTTTTGTTTAATTAATTTTACTTATAATTTGCTCCATTTTTCTCTTTTAATATAAAAGTATTTTTACGTTTTTTAATATTAACAAATTTGAAATATTTGTTGTATAACTTTACGCAAATATATGTCAGAGAACTAGAGAAGCAGTATGTTCTTAAAGAAAGAACTGAAGATAAAACCTTAAAAACTCATTATGTACAAAATTAAATTCCTTAATCCTTTATTGAGTAAAATTAGAAATTTGAGTGCTTGCGAAAAACAAAATTCTTTATTAAAATAAAAATCTTATAAAAAGTTTTATGATTTTTACAAAATCTATAAAAAAAATATATTGACTAAGTTAAAATATATATTTTTACCTTAGTTTAGTTAAAAAATCTCAACAAATAATTTATATGTACATATACAAAAACAAGAGAAAAACAATAAATTTTAAATATTTGTAAAAATATTTCGTTTGGAATTTTAAACAAATTCACTTATTTTAATTCATATTTTAGGTTTTTAAAATTCAAATATTAAGTGCAACACATTCAAGCCTATCACTTAACTAATAATCTAGATACATTACATATTATACATACATAACAATTGTTTTTAACAAGTATTTTTCTTAGCATTAAAATTATAAATTTCGTCATTTCGTCAGATCGTTAATGATAAAAACAGATTTAGTTTATAGACTAAGCATACTAAATAATAGTTAAAAAATCATTTTTTATTCAAGAAAATTTACTATATAATATTTGAAATTTAAATCACATTATCACATGAGAATGAACATAAATTAGTAATACGAAATCTTTGAATAATGAAAAAAAATTTTGGATAGTTTTTAATTAAAAGTATATACATATGTATTTGAAATTTACAGAAAATTTTCCCAAAAAAACTATTCGATATTTGACTGTGTTTTAAAATTTTTCATTATACAGTGAGATTTTTCAGTTTTTAAAATAAATATCTATAGAAAATTTAGCAACCTTATAATATGTGTTGAAAATTTAACAACATTTAATGATATGATACAATATTCAATATACCAGCTTTATAACTTTTTTATATATTCTATTGATAACTGCAATTACCGTATTTTTATGCTTATATTGCAGGCTTATCACAAAAGTTGTAGTTTTATCCAGAATATTAAGTATACATTTATATTGCATTGCCTAATACATATTGTTATAAATTTTTAGTCAAATGCATTTAAAAAACATAAGAAATGTTTTGTACTTATCCAAAAACTACAAATTTTGTTAAAAGAGCGAATTAAATTTTAGATTTATTCATTATCGTTTTCTATTTCTTGCAATCCTTTCGCATTTCTTCTGCAACTTCTTACCTTTTGCACTAAATATAAAAGAAAAAGTGGTATAGGTGTCATTATTGCAACTGAAACTGGTATTACTGTCGTTAAATCTGCTTCAGGTTGTCCGAGTGAAAAACGAAGCATAAAAATTGCAATCCCTGTGTGAACAAAATGATAAAAAATTTAAATATATTATAATATAGCAGGTACTACCAGTGTTTTGAATTCCAGCTTCTATAGCGATTGCTAAACAATCTATATCATTTTGTTTCAGCAATTTCGCCACGCACCAACTTAAACAATAAGTTAACCACGGTAGACCTAAACCAGCTACTACAATCTATATAATAAAAAAACAATATTTTTCTGTTAAATATTTTCGTTATAAGACGATTACGTACCTGCCAAGAGAATAATTCAAATAAATATAAGTTTGTAACAGTAGCAAAAATAATAATGAAAATAATTAAAATTGCCGAGATAGGACGTAAAAGACGAGAAAGCACTCGAGCAATTCTTGGTAAAAATTTTTGTATGCCGATTCCTATTAATAGAGGTACAACCAAAGACACAGCAAAAGTAGCTATACGATCGTATGGTATTTTTAAATCCCCATAGTCGAATATTGTTTTACCAAGCGTAAAAATCCATAGTGGCATCATTGCAAATGCGCCCAAATTACTAATAGTTGTCATTACTATTGAGAGATTTATATTTCCTTTTAATATAACCGTCCACATGTTTGATGCTCCACCACCTTTTTAAAAATTTTATGGGATTAAAAATTTTTTTTTAAAAATCTAATTAACCATTTTAATATGATTGTACCTGGCGATACACCTGTGAAAAACAGACCCAACCACATATTAATATCGGTTGCGAATAAAGCATATCCAAGTGCGTAGCTCATAACAGGCATCAATATAAATTGACAAAAACAGCCAATTGCCGGTCCAACAGGTTTTTTCAAGATACCTTTGAGAACACTTAAATCTAACGCTGCTCCGAAATTGATATATAATAAACTAACTAATAATGCAACTGATCCTGTAAACACGTGATCAATTATTCTCATTTTTCTTATTACTATTATATCCTGACAATTTGATGAGATTTCGCTTTGATTATTTGATAATATCAATTCAACACAAATTTTTGTTTTCCCCAAAAACACGCCTTTCACCAAAACATATCCTTCCCAAGAAGATCCATTCAGGTGAATGTATTCATCCGGAACAGTCGAAATGTGAGTTTTTTCGCTTTTTAACCGAAATTTCGATCCCTTTAATTGCTCATCAAATAAATTAATTTTTAATTTTGATTGTGCTTCTTCGTCCATATGAATAGTAATATTTAAATCACTAAAAGAAACCTTCCATTTTTCTTGATCCGTAAGTCCATGTTGTCCAACAACGTTGACGATCAAGAAAAATATCGTAAAATAAAATACTGATTTTCTCATCTTACAATATTGCGATTGCTTTGTATCTGAAAATTTGGAAGGAAACTTATGTTATGAAAAGCACAATGAGATTCCAAATCAATTTATTAGCTAATTTTTGTTGCTCTTATTAGGTTTCTATTGTCACGTAACTACAGATAAGATTAGGAAACCACTTAATAATTTACAAAAATTTAAACTTTATTCATTTCTAAATTAGTTATTTATTATTTACAATATATTCGATATATTCATTTTTATGAGCTAATTAAAAAATATTGTTTTGGTGGTGTTAATACAATCAAAAAGAAATACAATTTTTCACAATCAAATCCCTACAATTAAAATAATGGAAAAAAAACAATGTAAGTAAATTTCTAATGCAACGATAAATTAATGACGGTCAGTCTTAATATTTGTCAATAGAACAAGAAATGATCGTGGTTTATATACATATACGAGTATAATATATAGATACACACATTTTGTTTTACGAGTTTCCGTTGTATTATTATTGTAAACTGATCAAATGTCAGTAGCTAATATTCTGGACAAAATAAGAAGTACTTATTCATCAGAATTCTTTTCAACTTTTATGATCAAATAGTGTCAGGATTGTTTTTCTGACAAATTCGTGAGAAAAAACACACATATATGAACTTCATATGAAACAATAGTGTTATTAATTTCAACATATACTTTGAGGTTGTCAAAAAATAAATCAGTTATTTTTTTGCCAAGTTATTCTAAAATTATGGTGGAGATTATTACTTATTGAAATTTAACTGAGTTATTTTTTAATTTTTGTCTCGTGAAGGGATCTAACATTTTTGTTTTCAGTTATGCGCATGTATTTACATTGTTTCTTCATTAATGGAATTTTTCATATTCGCTATTTGACAACTGCTTTACTATGCAATTCTGTATCATTCTTTATGCACTTTTCAGAATTTCCGAAACACTGCTCTTTTTTTCTTAGCAGTAGTGTCAAACAAAATTTGTTCGGAAACTAATTTTTTAAAATATTATTTGATATTTTAATAGAAAAAAATAATTAATGATAAAGTAGATTTTATTCAAAAAGAATCTGCATTTTATTGAATGCAAGATTGAAAAAAGATATTTGGTGCAAACATTGTAAAATTTACGTTTTAATAACAAAGCATATAAAGTGTACTGTGGCTTAATGTAAAAATTTGTACCAGATTTAACATTAATTGTAGAAATTGGAAAGTTTGCCAAAAAAAAATAAATTGGTTTCGATAAATCTTATTAGTAATTTTTGTCGTTTTTATGAGAAAAAAGTTAATGGTGTAGACATACTTATTTACCGTTTTAAGTCAAATACATACACATACTCGTATTTCAAATTAATAAATAACGTGTATTTCTGCACTTAAACTTAATCAACATTTTGATAAAAACTGTAAATTTACTACAGCGTATAAAAATTGTTAGTTTTCGTTTATGCAAGCAAAATAACTTTGGAAATGATTTAGTACCTAGTGTAAGTTATATAGTTCTCCAGTTTTAATATATTATATAATGTACATATATGTAAGTATATTGATTGATTTAAAAAAAAAAAAAAAAATCCTTACCCGGTTTTTTTGTGATATTTGGCGAAAAAGACATAGAATGTATGTACATATATATTAATTGCATATTTTTGATAATTGGTTTTTTATATGTATACGATTACGTATTATTGAAATCTTTCAATTTAACTGAATGTTCTCAATCTGTGGTGGAATACATTTTTGTATTTAGGTAATAAAGGCTATCATATTAAAGGACATCATATTTCTAGAGTATAAACCGATATTAAAAAATTTGAAAGGAAGTAAAATAAAAAATTTGCACAATTTAGTTTCAAACAATCATATTTTTAAGAAAGTTTTTTTTTTGTTTTAAAAACTCGGAAATATTTTTAAATTTTATTTAGGTATTCAGTACAATTTCTGATCATTTTCAAATCCATTTCTGAACAATATTTATTTAGAAATAAATTAAAGAGGCTTATTTAAATAAAATCATCTAAATTTGCATTTTTAATTTATCAAAATTTAAAAAAAATACAAAAGTTAGATAATTTTGATACAAATTTCAAAAGGAACCTTTTTTTTTTTAAATATCTTGATTTATTTTAATTAAAATTGTAGAAAATCTCACATTGAAGAACGCTCTTTTCTTAAATATATAAATAACGGGTTTCCGCTAATGATTTCTATCTGTAAACAAATTAAAATGCCAAAAAACATTAGATACCAGAACACATGAATTTAGTAAGTTCAATTAAGATTCGTAGTAATCTTCCATCAATAAGGTGTATAGATGATGACTACAAATTTGTTAATAGCCATCATCTTTGCATTCGTCGGTTAAAAAGCAGGAAGCATTAAGTCAGGAAACTGTGTTTTGAGTAAATTCAATTTGAAAAAATCGTAAAATTGTAAAACTAATCAATTAGTGGAATAGGATTGTTCTCTTTAATTTCTGGATTTATAAACTACATTCTGGATTTGCATGATTTTTGCAACAACAAAGATTATATTATTCTGATTAAATTCATCTATGAATTCCGAATTCTCAAAAAATGCACTTAGTGCTTTCTGCTTTTTAACCGACGCATTACTAACACCTCAATATAGTTATTAGATTCTACATCCGATCGGGTATCTCGCTGTTTTACTTGCCAAGTGAAAAGAAAGTCGAAATGTTTTCGTATGCAACTTAATTCATTCCAGGTATTTTTGTTAGTGCAATATTTAAATATTACTTAATTATAACAATATACACATAGATACATAAATTAAACATATTTATAACAAGTATGTATTCGTATTCATGTTGTATTCCATAATATTATGAATTTAAAAAATATAAAAAAAATAACAGCCTTTAACATTTTGAATTTCCAATTTTTTAGTTTAGATAATTTGTAAATAAAATGGAGTGTTATAAGTTTGATTGATTGCGGATTGATGGCGGTGACATAATTCGTTCCTCTTCATTTGGATTAGTTGAAATATCTTCCTCCTTCATAGCACTTGTACACAAAAATCTTTGTATTGAATACAATATTAAAAGTGGCAGTAGTGTCATAAAGCTTACGGCTACTGGTATAACTGATGTCAAATCAGCTTCTGGTTGTTCTAATGAAAATCTTAATAAAAACATTGCAATTCCTAAAATGTTTGAAGATTTTAAAATTATTATTTGAAACAAATTTAACAATTTAAAGTTTTAAAAAAAAAACCTAAAAATAAATTGACGGTTACAATATGTATGTATATAAAATATGTATGTATGTAAGAAAATAATGTGTATGTACATACATTGTATATATAATAAAATATTGAAATTTAAAGATTAGTTGTTTCTACGGATTGTAAATAAATATTTTTAATACTTTTTTCTATAATTTTAAAATTTATAATATAATATAATTTTGTGATGAGCGGGAAATATCGTATTCCTAATAATAGGTTACAAATCGAAAAGCCATTACAGAAAATATGTATAATTCACATCATTATAAACAGTTTAAAAACATTATAAAATGTTTAGTTTAGAAAAAAATTAACTTTAACAAAATTTTTACCTGTGTTTTGCAATCCAGTTTCGATTGAAATTGTTAAACAATCTTCCTTATTTTGTTTCAGCATTAATGCTATTAAATAACTTAAAATGTATCCAAACCAAGGCAAACCCATTCCAGCTAAAATTATCTATAAAAATAATTTGTTATTTGTTTTCTTAATTATAAACTTAAATTTTTGCTGTATGTTTATACATATGTGTATATGTATGTACATATATCAATTTAACTTACTTTCCATGTGAATAATTTAAATACATAAAAATTTAGAATTATTGCAAATGTCATAATATACACTAATATTATTATAGTAATTGGTTTTAATAATCGAATTAAGATGTTTGCTAATTTCGGTTGAAATTTTTTTACTAGTATACCAATAACTAGTGGAATAATTAATGATACAGAAAACACGGCTACACGCTCATATGGTACACCTAAATTTCCTCGATTGAATATTGTTGCCCCAAGTGTAAATATCCATAACGGCATCATAGCAAAAGCGGCTAAATTAGAAATAGTTGTCATAACAATTGATAAGTTCACATTTCCCTTTAAGATTAATGTCCACATATTCGAAGCTCCTCCGCCTTAAATAAGCAAAAAGAAAAATTCAACAAAAAAAAAAATGATTTAATCTTTGGAAAGCACTTGTAACATTCAAAATTCAAATAGTACCTACATTGATTTTAGCATGTAACTACGAGTACTACTCACATATACTTTTACTAATAGTAATTAAATTAGTTACTATTATACAAAATTTTAAATTTTATACAAAGATAACATGCATACACCAAATAATTTTTTAGTTTTGCACGTACATATGTATGAATAATAACGAAATGTATAAAATGTCTGAAATATGCATTTTTCGCATCTTTTTTTAAACACATTTAACATGTTTTACTGGAAAAATTAAGAGAAGTGGAGGAAAATGTTATATGGTTAACTTTTAGTTTATTAAAACAAAAATAATAAAATAATAACTTTATCTCGAAACTATGATAACTTAAATAAAATTAATTATAAGACCGTAAATAAAGAGTGATTCGATGGTTACTCTATGGTTCGAAAGTTGTAAGCATTTATTTACATACATATATGCAAAAAAAAAGTGGTGCCTTTTTTCAAAACAGGTTGTAGTTCGAAAACGAGTAAATTAATTGATTTAAAATTATTTTCTACTTACCTGGAGATACACCAGAAAAAAATAGACCTAGCCACATATTAACATCATCCCAAAATAAAACGTATCCTATTAAGTAACTTATTGTTGGCATTAAAATAAATTGACAACAAAATCCAATTATTGGTCCAACTGGTTTAATCAAAATTTCTTTTAATGAATCAATATCCAAACAAGCTCCAAAACTTATAAATATTATAGTTACAACAATAGCAATTGATATTGTAAAAATTTGATCGGCAATGCCAAATTCTTTTAAAACAATTATATTCTGGCAACCATCTGACATCCATTTTACTTCATTCTCAAATATTGATTTGGCACATAGTTTTGATTTACCTAAAAATAATCCAGTAACTGATATATTTCCATAATAAAAGCGATCATCTGAAATTTCTATTGGATTATGTTGGCAAGAACAAATGTGTGGTGTTTCACAATAAAAATAAATTTTCGAATTTTTTAACGAACTATCGAATAATTCAATTTGGAAAGAACTATTAATAACATTGTTCATATCAATGGAGAGTGTTTGATTTTTAAAACTGATCTTATAATTACTATTTCTAGTTGAATCTGATGATCGTACACAATTAATATGTGAGCCAAGTACAAAGTATAAAAGCAAATATAAAGCTTGTTTCATGTTCTATAATTAGGTTTTTGCACTATTTGTGCACACACGTATATTTATACAATGGAATAATGTTTATTGTTTTTGTAAAGTTGAACTTCCGTTCATCTGAAATGAAAAATAAGATTATTACCATTACCAGTAATTTTAACGATTTATTTTTTTTTTATTTGCCAAAATTTTTTTTATTTAAAGTTTTCTAACACTGATATATTTTTATATAGCGTTCTCCTAATATGACTAACCGTTTTTTATGGCTAAGTGTTATTGGTACAATCCTAAAAAAAAATTGGAAAAAAATGTGCCCATTAATTTCACGCTGTTTGACCCTCTGTTTACAAAACATTTACACTATTCAAGATAGAAAGACGAAACTTTGTTTATACCTATAGAAATAGATGAGTAGACCTTGAAACTGTTTTTTTTTAATCTCTTATCTTTTTCCGGAAGCAAAATTCGTTAAAATCTCTGTACCTCAAAAACCGTTGAGATTGAACCCCTAGTTTTGAACTAAAATTTATTCATTTTTTATGCCCTAAGGCCTTAATGATGGCATATGTTGTATCAGTATTTTACTAAATCACCTTGTATATAAGTTTATTAACAGCAAAATAAAGAAACTTTTCGAAGCTCCGATCTTTTCAAACAATCAATCAATATTTTAGATGCTTTCAAATTCAAACTAACAAAGTCAAACATAAGTAATCGTATGTATGTATGCGCACCTTCAACGACAAAACTAACACCCTTTTTCTGTTAGTCGCATCACTTAACGGGTTGTTATTCAAAAATACTGTAATTTCCTGAATAAAATTAATTCCAAAATTCGAAGTTCTATAAGTACTGGAGAACAAAATTCTTCGAATAATATACCATCACCTTAAGTGATACAACTAACAGAATTTGGGTATAAATTAGATATGAAATTAAATACATACATATTATTATGCATCCTTACACTTCACTACATAGTGATTTAGCGTTAAATATTGTCACCGCATTGCTCCTGCAGCATACTGAAATTTTCATTTGTTCTCTTTGTGTTTGAATGGATGTTTTTATTTTTATCCCAACAATTAAAAATTTTATAAAAATTGTCATAGAACCAGTAAGAATTTATTTTTGCAGTTATTAGATGGTTGTCATTCAATATATCATATGTACATAGGTAAACACATGTATATAAGAGCTAATTTAAGAGTTAATTTTAAATCTATTGAATAATGTTTTGTGAGTAAATTAAGTTTTATAATAATCTATTACTGATAATAAAACTTCAATTGTTTCCTATATACATATACCTTTTTTTTATACATATGTATGTATATGTATGTGACAATAAGGTAAAATTGCCTAAATCGAATTGCCATAAGATCGTAGTATATTGGAATGTACCATATATTATTACATATTATATTTAAAAACAAGATTTGAAACAGCTTAATGCGATTGCCCCAAATTTAATAAGTTATATACTAATGTACACATGTGTATAATAAATTACAAAAATATATTTACTTATATTAATTTACTGCACGAGTGTAAACTATGCTCAAAAAAATTATAACTTTGTAAGAAATAATTGAATTCTAGGTATGTTATTCGTTCCATTATGCAAACACAATACTTTTTAAAATTTTAACACTGCAGCATTTTTAAATAAAGGTAATAGTTTACAGGCTGCTAAAGGCGGTTTAAAAACTAACTCTTTTACTTTTATGTTATTGACTATTAAATTACTCTAATGTGCTTCTCACACTTTTAGCAACTCAATTTTTTAGATGAAATCAAATGGAATAATTTTATATTAAAATAAAGTCAAATTTAATTGTTACTTACGTATGTCTATATGTATTTCTTTTTATGTCGTCATTAACGTTATTATTATTAAATTTTTGAGTAGTTACCATAAAACAAGTTTTTTCAATATGTAGTTTTTTTTAATGGGTTTCGCAAACACACAAAAATAATAGATTTGATTTTAGATAAAATTTGTTGAAATCTATACTTAAAGACAAAATGTTTGTACTTAGTGTTTGTTCTAAAATTATATAAAAATAAATAACAGTAACGAAATGAGTATGAAAACTGAAAATATTCTAAAATAAAATTCATGTAATATTTTTTTCGCATTAAATTTTTTTCTTTGCAAATTGTGTGTATGTATATTGTACTGTAACACAAAATAATACAAAAAAAAAATAGTCATAAAATTATTATTTTAAGTGGTAACTTGCAGTATTCGCAAAAAAAAAAAATTGAAAAATATAACGAAATTAAGCTTAATAAATGTAATAAAATGCAACTTCTAACTGGAATGAATAATTTTAATAAACTAAACACAATATAATTAATTATTTTGAAAAAAAAAAATAAATAAAAAAAAACAACAGAATATCATGCATAAGCGCTTATCAATGCCGCTTGTGATTAAATAAAATCACATAATCGTTATTAAGATATTCGAAATATGTAAAATATACAAATAAATACTATGTATACACGCATATGTATACAAATACGTCTATATATGTATGTATACAGTGTGTCCGAAACTCTGTGATCCAGACGAACAATAAATAATAGGGGTCACTTTCCTTTGTTTGACACCATTCTTGAATTATTTGATCTCAAGTTTGGACTATAAGAAAAGCGATTGAAATAAAGTAAATTATGTGAACTGATTTTCTTTTTCAAGTTTCTCTTGAAACTGCAAAATATTAAAAAATTTTTTCTAGAAACTTTTCCTTTAACTATATTATTTACTAATAATGAAATTACGGCCCCAATCAAACAGTTTATTTTACGTTAAGTGAAAGTTCTGAGCTTCATTTTGATGTTAAATGTTGGGCAAAAATTTCAAATTTACATACATATATTACAGTGAAACATATAAAAAGTAAAATATATTTACGCGAACGTAAATCGACAGAAAACTTAATATAAAAAAATATAATAAATTTTCAACTTTTTGACAAAAAAACACAAAACAAAAGTAGGTTTTTTAATGATTTTTGTTCAATTTGTCATTTCTTTTCAAGTGATTTTATTTTTTAATATATAAACACTATTTTGTAACTGAATAGTGTCTTATACTTTTAGTGTTTTATGATTTTTTTCAAAAATTTATAAATTGATCTATCATATCTAGCGACTTTTTTATTCATGTGACCCAACACTTATTATTTTTTTAAGGAAAAGAGTAAAAATTTAACTGTCTTCATAAAGTCTAACTTTGGGGCCCAATAAGTGAGGTGGAAAAAAAATTAAAATTATGTAGTTATTTTTTGTTCATCTAAACGCCTCGGGAATATCATCGAGTGCTGGACGTTCTGTACTCACCTGTATATTGTGATTTGTATGTGATTCTGTACTTACCTGTATATGTGATTAATACGTATGTAAACTTATAATTAACTAGTGAATTAATAAATATTTATTTATAAATATAAATTAATATTTAGCTTATTTTGATAATAATTATTAATATCGTTATATTTTATATTATGTAAGTTATCGTTTACATTTTATATCACATACATATGCACATATTTTAGAAAATACATATACATATGTACATGTTTTTTAAAACTGAATTTTGCAGTTATGAATTAAAAATTAAGCTTTTTCTACTTGTCGACTTCATAGCTCCGAGATTTACTCTAACTTTTTTTTGGAAAATCTTTCTTTTGTGTTTAAGCCATTCTTATGTTTTATTTTTTTTGACAATCTTATGCTTTGTTTTGTTTCGCATTATGCAAAATTCGATAACTAGGAATAATTAATAGAAAACTATAGATACTTAGTTTTAGCTCTAACACTATAAAAATTGGTACAACAATATCAAGACATACATATTATCGCGAGAAAGGACATTAAAAAAAATTTTATAAAAAAACAGGTTCAGTACTGGAAGAATACCTAAATTGACAAATACATACATACATAAACCGTGACTATAAGTGGGAATGACTAAAACCTATATGATTTAAACGATTTTTACCGAGCATATTGCGCTCAATAAGTGAGGTTATGTGATGGCACCAAATTTCAGATGTCGAGTTTTCGGTGAGAACGCACTTCTCCATGATAGGGAAACGTATTTTAAATAAACTATTTTAAAGAGATGTCTGTAGCTTTGTCTGGCAGTGTGTCTGTCTGTGTATGTACACGTGTATCTGAAGTTCGACTGAACCGATTTCGATGAAATGTTATATGTGAGTTTCGGTTACGTCCAGGATTGATAAACTTTTTGAACGTTATATGTCTGGCCTCGAGAACTGGACCTTTTGGCAGGCCGATTTTACATTTTTGCGCATATATTAAGAGAAATAATCAGCCTATTGTCTTGAAATTTAATATTTGGATTTGTGGTATTAAAACAATAAGCTTATAAATTTTTGGAAATACCATAATTCGTAAACCGAAATACGAAACTTTACTAAGAGCCAAATTTAAATTTTTCGAGGAATTTTAAGTAAAATTCCTTATAACAAACCATCGAATTCAGTTTTCCAGATTCAGTTGTCTAATTACTTTATTTAGATAACCTGCAAAATAATGAAAATGTACCAACCGAATATTCTTATGTGGAATCAATTTGTAAAACTAAGTGCACCAAATCAATGAGCGGTTCTGTTTTAAATAATCTGAATTAAAATTGATCGAATTTAAGAAAGAATTAGATAAGCTAACAACATCATCAATAGGGAACTTGGTACAAAGCGCAAATGAAAATCAAATGGATAATTATAATACTTAATCTTACTGCTAGTTCTTAAATTGTGAACGGTGTTATCTGCAAAAGGAGTTAGACAACCAACAAAATTCTAAAGCAATAAAAGATAAGTAAGGAATTAATAAATAAAAGAAGCAAAATATTAAAAAATAAAGAGCATTGAAGAGCTTTCTGTTGCCCTAAATTTCGAGTTCTTGGTCTTCCAGTTGTTCAAATTTTATATTCAAACCACATTCCCACAAAAGTATCAAATGTATGTGCTACATAAATTCAAAATAATAATTAATTTCTCGGTACAACGTATTACAACGTGAACAACATATATACTGTGTTAAAAAAAATTTATTTACATGATTTTCACAACATATTATTGTGACCTATAAATAAGGCAGTCTATTCAATTTTATTTAAATATTTATTTATGTACATACATACATAATATGTATGTACATGAATATCAAATTTATTTAGTTCCAGGCATAATATGTTCTTCCTCATTAAGATTTTTTGACTGATCCAATTTATTTTTTTTAACTTTTTTGTCTTCGTCTAAACAGAAAGACTTCTGAATAAAATATAATGTTAAAAGTGGTACTTTAGTCATGATCGATACTGATACAGGAACTATTGATGTTAAATCCGCTTCAGGCTGTTGTAATGAAAATCGAAGTAGAAATATTGCAACTCCTAAAACAGAAAAGAAAATATTTTTATTCTTAATAATTATTACATTCATATTGTAATATTTAAGGCTAACTAACCTGTATTTTGGAGGCCAGTTTCAATTGAAATTGTTAAACAATCGGACTTATTTTGTTTAAAAAGCCATGCTGCAGTATAACTTAAAATATATCCAAACCATGGTAATCCCATTCCAGCAATTATAATCTAAATAAAATTTATGCACAATTAAATTTAGTACAATAAAATATAGTAAAATTATAAATTTTTTTTGTAACTTAATTTTTTGTAAATAGAAAGCATAATGACCATAAATCAAATAATCTAATTATAAAAAGACATTTTGGTTTTATCCGCATTACTAAATCAAGGGAATTCTTTTATATCATGGGGTTATAACAATAGACATCCTTTTTAATTATTGAACCATTGTAATTGGGCAAATTAGGAATTGACAACGATATTTGTTGTAGAAAGTTACATAATGTTATTATTGTAAATATAAACCAATTTCACACTAATGATTTCTTTTTGTAGTGAAATTTTTACCACAAATATCAATATCACTTAGTATGTTATTTTGTCTCTCAAAATTTTAACAGGTTTTGGATGAATAAAAATTCCACAAAAATAAATCTTGATTGCTTATTAAATAAAAAAAGTTGCATAGAATGGCTAACCACAGAAAATTTCAACTTTGTTCATCTCAACTCCGATTTTCTCAATTTTTTGTCCTCTTTCCTTAGTTTCTGTTGCATTGCTTGTTATTCGTAATTGCTCATATACCCTAGGTTTTCTAATTTCTATAATACTTTATTTTCGTTTCAGCGAATATATTTTATTTATTTTACTTTTATTGAAACGATTTTAATTACTTATTGATCTTTGCTCTTTCGCTTTACATATATTACACGATATTTTTGAATCAATAATGATTCTTTTTTAATAATTCTGTCAATTTACAATAATTCTTTTACATAATTTCAAAATATTTCAAAAATATATTTACTCACCCTCCAAGAAAATAATTTAAATAAATATAAGTTCGTTATTATTGCAAATGATATGATGAAAATTAAAATAATAATTGAAATAGGTTTTAATAAACGTATAAGTACGTTAGCTAATTTTGGATGAAATTTTTGTATTGCTAATCCAATAAATAACGGTATAATAAGTGATATTGATAAAGTTCCAATTCTTTCATATGGTACACCTAAATCTCCACGTTCGAAAATCGTTCTTCCTAAAGTGAAGATCCAAAATGGCATCATAGCAAAAGCAGCTAAATTACTAATTGTTGTCATAACAATTGAAAGATTAACATTTCCTTTCAAAATTAAAGTCCACATATTGGAAGCTCCACCACCTTCAAGGAAAAAAATTAATATTCTTATTTTCTTACAAAAATATTAAATAGAAAAATTAAATAACCTGGTGTTACTCCAGAAAAAAATAGACCTAACCACATATTTGTGTTTTCTGAAAATAAAATGTAACCTATTGTATAACTTAAAATTGGCATCAAAATGAATTGACAACAGAATCCAATTGTTGGTCCAATTGGTTTTATTAAAATTTCTTTCAATGAGTTCATATCCAATGCAGCTCCAAAACTGACAAATATTACGCTAACCATTATTCCTAAAGAAATCGTAAATATATGATCAACAATACCAACTTTTTTTACAACAACAATATTTTGATATTCATTTGAAATTTGAATAGTATTGTTTGGCAATTTTATTTCAGCGTAAAGTTTTGATCTTCCCATAAAAATGCCTTTGATTAATATAAATCCTTCCCATTCTGTACCATTTGTTATGGTCACTTCATCTAAACTATCACAAATTAATTGATTTTCGCAATGAAATTGTATTTTTAAATTTTTTAATAAATCGCTAAAGATATTTATTTTCAAAAACAATTTGCTTTCGTTATCCATATTAACTGAGAATGGCGCGGTCTCGTTAAATCTTATACTCCAATTTTTATCTGATGGTGATTCATTTTTATATTTGCCCAGCACTTGCTTACTATATTCAAGTGATAATATCAAAAATATTATGATATAATAGTTTTGCTTCATTTCTAATTTTATCTATTGGAGAATCTTTTTCTAAATCATTTATCTGAAAGGAATTAAATTGGAGAATTTGATAATGAAATGTTAATATGTACAGTGAGAAAATTTATAAAACTTTTAATTTTCATTATTGTGAATAAAATAGTTAGAGTTTTTGCTGAAGAGAAAGATAGTTTGATGTGCACGAATAAACCTTTTCAAATAAAAATTGTACAACATACTTTTACAGTTTTGAACGATAACTCTCAGAAGATACGAGTATTAGTTCACGATATCTTTTAGATTTTTAAATATCAATTTTTTTAATTTTTGGCCCCCACAATAGAAAGCTATCAGATTAGAGCATTACCAATTCCATATAATACCCTTTTCTTTAATAACCTGATGGCAAATTAAAATAAGTATTGTTATAAAAAATTAATAAGTATAGGAAGAAAATAGGATGTTTTAAATTTCTTAAAAAAAAAAAAATTATTTAAAACTTCCTATATTTTAACGAAATTATCCTATATTGTGAACGAAATTATAGTTCAAAAAATATTTAAAGCAATATTTACTTTAAAAAAAATCCCACTATTTGAAAATATATTTTCTTCTACACAATAAAATAGGTGTATTAATTTTACGATAAAAAATTAGATCAAAATGGAGTTGCCACTTTAATAAACATTTTGTATTTAAGTAATTTCAATTCATAATTCAGTACTCAATTTCAAAATTTTCTCTATACCTCAATTCTATTATAAGAAAATGTTAAATTTCTCTATATACACACAATATACAGTAGAAATCTGCTCTAGTGAACGCCCGACTTTATGAACTTCCCAGTCGAGTGAACACAAAAATTTTAGCATTGACTGCCTTACACTGTGAACAAAAATTTTTATAAATGCCCAGTATAGTGAACAAATTTTACAAAACTGTTTTTTTTTTTATATTATTCTTTTTATTTTTCTCATTGTAACGGGATTTTTCAAGTTGAATTACAAAAGAGAGCATTATTTTGTTTATTTAACATGTAAGTCATACATTGTGTTAGGTAATGGCATTCAATTAAAGTATAATTTCGATAAAATAAAAGTGTTCAAGTTTTTTTTAAAGTGCCGAAAACAAATATTAAAAGAAAACATTTGAATTTAAATGAAAAAATTAAAATTATAAAATCTTTAGAGTCAGGAGTAAGTGTTACAACATTGTCTAAGAAATTTGGTATAGCTAAATCAACCGTGTGCGCGATTAATAGCAGAAAACTGAAGTTAAAAAGCCAAATTCGGTTACTAATTTAACTGAAAATGTGATAGAAACAGTTGAAGCAAAAATTTCTGATTATGAAGCCCTTGATGCGCTAAATAAGACTATACAATGGGCTGCAGACAACGATATTTTGTTAACCGACCAAGTCACACTTAGAAATATAAGAGAAAATATTGTTTTAAAAATTTCAAATAAAAAAAAATTAAAAAAAGAGTAACTGAATACTTTTCGAAACAATAAAGCTTTAAAAACTACTTTTTAGTTTAATTTATTTGACATTTAATACAGTGAACAGGTTCAATAGAACGAACAGCCTCTGTTTTTATTACGTTCACTCGAGCAGATTTCTACTGTATGTATGCATTTCATTAAACTTAATTATGTTCAATTAGCTATAAAATTACGTACTAAGAAAAAAACATAAAATTCTAAATCTTATTATTGTTTTAACAAATATACGAGTATATTTTATATGTTTCTTTAGATTATGTAAAGAATTTAATCAATAATAGTAATTATACTTGTATTTATATTTATACTCTTATCTGCTTATCAATATTTTTTAATTGATATGAAGGAATGTTTAGTTTAATTAACTAAGGCTTATTACCTTGCAAATATTTATCTATCAATATATAAGTATGATTGCGTCTTAAAAAAAATATAAAAAATTCTGATTATCTAAATATATAACATCTGTGTATACGTTTGTATGTATATACATACATGTGTGCATATATAATGTATAAGAGTAGCATTTGGTAGCTCAAATTTGATGATACTCTTATTTTCACGTAACTTATTATACATATACTATCAACTTTTCCTCTTCTTAAACAAAAAAAATCTTAAGAACCTTTATTTACCTTTAGTTTAGTACTTTTCATCTAGTAACGATTGATGCAAATCTAATAATATAACAATAAAATATTTACACAACAAAAATAATGTATCAGCATTATGTATGTACGTTTGTTTGTGTGCATATATAAGGTTTGTTTATAATTTTTCCTAAAATCCTTATATAATTTTTTTAATTCATCAAAAAAATCCTCTGATACTTAGTAAATCACCGGCTATGAAATAACTGAAATTAAAATTAAATATAAATTAATTAAAAACTCTCAATTTAAACCTTCTCATCATAACTTTTTGTTTTATGTACTTAACAAGTTAAAAGCTTTGAATTTTTTTTAAAAGACAATTTTGAATTGTACATATTCATATACCTACAAGAGAATTATTTCTCTTGTAGATATGTACAAATGTATATACAATTCACTCTTCAAGTACTTATACATATACATACTTATGCTATTTAAGAGAATTTTGTGAAATATAATCTACAGTATAATTCCGATTGATGAAAAGGTTGACGGTCCCTTCCCGCAAAAATATTATCAGTCCATTAAAATTAAACGCCCGAATCATATTTTTGCGAGTCGATTTACCAATGTTTGTCCGTTCTTGTAAGCGATGATTTAATAAATAATCGATTAAGTTCACTACATTTTCGCGAAAGAGTTATAAAATGAAACCCCTGAACCTTATTTAGTTTGGGTATGCTCGAGGCAACGTTTCGAGTACCTGTGGTACACATTTAAAACTTTGGTAATACCTCAGAAGCTATTTGGACTGCAGCTTTGAAATTTTATATAAGTGAATACAGCAACAACGTCATTATTTCTTGTTAATAATAATTCCGATTGCATAAGTCCTTTGATTGCATAAATGAGTGCTACACACTACAGTTAAAGTTAAAAATTGGAAGCCAAAGTTTAACGAGATGTGGAGGACAAGGCTTCAATATTTTTAACTATAATAGATGATATCAATCCCTATGGTAGCTATCACGCAAATCTAAAATCATTTACTGGTACCACAGAAATAAAAATGATCAACCTTACATATTCTCTTTCTATTTGAATTCATAATGCCTTCCGCAAACAATAAAACTTAAATATCTAATTAGGTTTTAATTGATTTATTTGTTTATTATTAAATTCAATAATTAATACTTTTTTAATATCAAATTCAATAACATTCCTAAAAATTGTGACCGTAAAAACAGAAAAATGAAAAGGTTTGCTTTAAAAACCAACCGTTCTATCACAAAATTTTGTGACTTTTATTTAGTTTATTGTGAACTGATTCTTATATTTCTTTTCAGTAGAAGTTTAATAAAAAAATTGATAATTACTATTTTTCGATAGCTTTAAGCTTTTTGTGTATTTTTCTCATAATAATCAAGAACAAAAATTTTAAGATGTCAATTTTTCAAAGAAAGGCATACTTTAAAAAATGAAAAATTTTTGATTTTAATTGTGGTTTTGATTTCGATTTTTGAAAGCCACTATTTTACCTACGATAAATTCGTACTAATATCTGTTACGTAACATAACAAACAAAAAAATTTTAATAAAATATTCAAATGAATTATTCGAATTCTAAAAATTATTTTAATAATTAGAATAATTGCAATTCAAAATAATGCTGTAAAATTAAGTTTTTATTGTAAAAAATTATTTAATACGAAAAATAACAATTTGCTTTAAAGTTGGCTTTAATTGAATAAGATAAAATAACAGAAAAATATAATGTGCTTACCAATTTTACCAATAAAATCTGTAGTATACACACAAGTGTACGCACATAATCGACCGACCACATATTATGTTTGCTGAATAATATAAATTTAAATGAATTCGTTTTTATAATTTAACGAAATTGTTAAAAAATATTGGTACTTAATTTCGCTTAAGAATTTCTAACATAAAAAATGCAAATGAAATCCCTATTAGAAATATATTCAATTAGCAAAGACTAGATAAAATAAACTTAGGTATAGATAAATTTGGGTTTGACGTTCGTTTCCCGCAGAAATGGTATTCAGACGTATAATTTTAATGGGATGAATGATATTTTTGCAGGAAGTGACCGTCGACCTATTTTTCCTCCATATAAATAAATGCTTATAACTTCGGAATCATGCGAAGTAGATTAACCCCCAATAGCTGATTGCTCTTTATTTTCGGTCTAACAATCCATTTGATGGAACATTAGTTTTCGAGATAAACATCGACATTTTTGGTTTGTTTTTAATTTTTTCCCGCAAATTTATGCAATAATTTTTTAATTTTGGTTTTTTCGATGCGCTACAATGAGATCTAAAATTTAATCCATATGACATTTTCCTCCATCTCTCATAATTTTTCCAGCAAAACGTGTTAAATGTGTTTAAAAAGCATGTGAAAATGCAAATTGCATGCATTTCACACACATTCTCCCTCATTATTATACATATGTAGTAAGTATTAAACAAAAAATTATTTAGTATATTATGTTTGTATGAAATGTATGAAATATGCATTCAAGTTTCAAAATGAATAAGTATGTGAAGCTAAGATAATTAATCAAATTTTTATGTATCCGAAACTCAAAAAATTAATGAAACGTAACTGCCAAAATGTCTCACATTGAAAAATGTTTTGCTAACATCATCATTATCAACAAAAAACACATTGCTAGTAGCACCCAAGGAAATACAAAATACCAAAAAAAAAAATATGTTCACTATCAAGTGCCAAAAATATGCATAATAAAATAAAGATATTTTTATAAAATATTACAATACCTTATACTATAGTATTGTAATATAAAAATATAGAAGAAAATTGTTCCAGTTATTGCAAATGAAACTATAATTTAAAATATTTTTTAGGTTTTACTTTAAAAAAATTTTTTTAACTTATCTTTTACATATTATGCATATTTTATAGTGTTTTATAGAGGCCAAATAAAAAAATAAAATAAATACGCTCCTGTTATGACTTTGACAATGCTTGGAACAATTGTTCTTTCAAGATGCTCCTTCCTTTAGTATTTTTGATTCGTTGGGCAGTACTGTTTTTGATTTTCTTGAGAGTTATATTTTTTTACATTAAAAAAAGGTGTCAAAAAACATAATAGAAACAGGGTTTCCGAATAGTAATAACTCATGATAACCCTGCAAAAGTGTAAAAAAACTTAGGTAAGAAAATAGAAATAAACATTAATTTGACAAGAAAAATCTACATTTTTTAAAATTCTACCTTTGCAAAATTTATAACTTTTATAAATCAAAATTTATAAAAAGATATTCGGCTTTTCGATTACAATATAAAACTATTGAATAATGGATGCTCAGAAGGATTGGCAAAATGATTGTCCTGATATCAAATCAAGAGGGAAAATAATATTTGAGACGGAACAATGGTAAGATTATTTTGCATAAGTATGTATATACTTACAAATTGTTATTTTGGTATTCATGCTTAATACTTCTATTTTTTGTTTAATGACGCATTTTAACTTTAAAAAGGCACCTTATTGACAATGAGGAAAATTCACAATTAAATTTTATTTTTAAGGTCTGATTGCAGATTTTTGGTAGGTACAGAACCAAATCAAGAATTTTTTTCAGGACATAAATTGATACTAGCCATGGCTTCTCCTGTTTTTGAAAGAATGTTTTATGGGAACCTACCGGATAAAACAGATCCTATATTAATTCCTGATGTGGCTCCTGATGCATTTCGTGGAATGATGGAATACATATACACTGATAAAATAAAAATTGATTCTTTCGAGAAAGCATGTGAATTGTGTTATGTTGCAAAAAAATATATTTTACCACATGTTGTAAAGCAGTGCACAAGCTATTTATTTCAGGATTTAAATCCGACAAATGTTTGTAGAGCTTATGAGTTCGCAAAATTATTTGAGGAACCTAGTTTGAAACATAGATGTTTACAAATAATTTCACGGCGTACAAAAGAAATTTTAGCTGACGAAAGTTTTATGGAAGTTGAACTATCAACTCTTTTAGCAATTTTCAGTTTAGACCAATTAAACATAGAATCAGAATTAGATTTATTTAAAGCACTAAATGATTATGCTATTAAACACGGTTATGTATCTGCATCAAAGAAAAATGATGATAACTCCAACCAACCAGGACCATCGGGAGTTGTTCCAATGGAACCGCATATTGACATTGAAGATATACAGGATAATCTTCATACAAATATGCACGACAATGATGTTGAAATTATTCCTAGTGATGATTCAGCTGCTGGAAGTGTAGGAGTTCCTACACCTTCCCCGGGGCTGATATCTACTGTTTCAACTGAAGCACATAGTCCTGCCGCGTCATTTGTTAACGAAAATAATCAGGCTAATATGATAACTGGAGAAGGACCTTCAAAGCCCTCTCAGGAACAACAAGCATATCCAGCTGAAGTTCAAGAGATATTACCAAAACGTAGTGTTACCGATTTAAAAGATGCTATAAGAAAAATTAGATTTTTAACGTTGAGTCCGCAACAATTTTCAGAAATACCAGCCAAATCAGAACTTCTGAGTGAATCCGAAGCATTGGCAATATTTATTATTATATCTAATCCTATGAACTCATATCCAATGCCGGAAGGCTTTTGTACTTCAAGAGTCCGCAGAAGTTTGTTTAATATGAGAAATGAAGAACCACATGCCTTTCGTGAGCGCGACATGGATCCATTTTTTTCACCCCCTGTACAAGAAGGAAGACCTCAATGTATAATGGCGCTGCATCTATTTAATAATTATGAATATGAACCAGAGGTTATGAATCCTGCAACAGAAACAAGAAAATTTTACTGTATACGCACAATTAGGCAGCAAATTGATTACAGAAATACAAGTGTGACAGATTGCGCCATGACTTTTCATGTAGATACTAATATACTGATTACAGGTATTTCCTTTATGACATTTGAAAAATAATCCATTCATTAATTATTTTTTATCGAAGGTTTTCAAGTTCCTACACAAGTGTTGATGGACTCTACTGGATTTACACAAAAATATGCTGAATGCTTATACGCTCATTTATTGGACGCACAGGGGTCTCGGTTGGCGTATACTCACTTAACATCACGTGTTCGATATGAATCTCTTTTAGATATATCTTTCGACCGCCCAGTTTTTATACATAGGAATAAAATGTACAAAATTGGAATTGTTTTTAGTAAAGTTGGGTGGTATCCTATGTACACATGTTATCCAGAGGTGAATTAAATTTCTTTATTCTTTAAGAATTAAAAACATTAAACTATGTTTTGTAGGTTACGTGTGATAACGTTCATTTCATGTTTAATATTGGAGCTCCACATGAATCATTGAGAGATGGATTAATACGTGCAATAGTCTTCACACATCCAGTTTCGCCTTCGACTCCATCTATTCCTTCTCTAAACGATATGCATTGAAAAATATTATTTTAAGCTTAATTATTGTGTGGTAGATATTTCATAAATACTTAGTGAGTGTATTGCCGTTTCATAGATGTATGTGTGTACTTTTATTTCTAAATACATTATATTAATAACATACTAATTTATGTTACTTCGAAATTGTAATTTTTATAGTTATAAGCAAACATTATGAGATATTAAAAAAATGATATTTTTTTCATATACAAGCTTGCAAAAGATACATATATTTTTAAAACGTTTTATGTAAGAAATTCCATTAAAATAATTTTCGTTTGTGTAAAATCTTGTTTCAAAATTTCATTTTGGTATCAAAAATTAATTCGACTGAAGTAGTGTCTATGATTATCAGGGCAGGGCGGCTTTTAATGCCGCTTGTGTTGATTTTTTCTTTTATGTAGGAACATGAGTATCTTTTTTCGAGTCATTTTTCATGATATGGATATTACATACATATGTATATCCATTTTGTATTTTTTCCGATTCAAAATTTCAGAAAATAATTTCAGCTTGGTGGCATTAGTTATTCTCACTTTTTTTAGTATGGTTTTAAAAGCCATCTAGATTATGATAATTATTTTTTGTTTATTTTTTTCAATATTTTTTTAAATTCTACTTTTTCTTTAATCTGTAATGCAGTACCCTTAAATTTGGAAAACCAGAAAGGTTGTCTGCGCTTAAATTGCAAATTCTTTTTTAAATGCATATTGTTTTAAATGAACTCACCACATCAAAAGCTAAGGCGCTGTATGACGTAGCAGCAAAAAACAACTGCACCTTCCATTCTACGGGGAAGCCAACTTATTGTCCAATTGATAGGAATAGGATCCCTAATATCCTTGACTGAGAGGAGTCTCTCATAATTGCACCCACGTAAATGAAAACTACGAATTGAGCTCCGACCAGTCTCCTGTTATCCTGTCAGTATCTGAAACGGTTATTCTTAAAAATGATATCCTCAGATTAACAAACAGAACTACTAAGTGGAACTTAGTGTTCTGTTTGTTAAAAGTGGGCTTGACGTTTTCATATCAAGTATTTAAGAAGCTGCTTAAAATAGCTCCTCTGAAATCAAAATAATAGAAAGGAGCTTGATATATCCTCTGGAAGTTACGGAGCTAGTTTTTATAAAAGAGAAGGTTTCGTGTAGTATGGCCAGCTATCCGTTTCCCTAAAATCAGAAACCTAGAGAACAAGAAGGCCACCGGATATGATTTAAAAACAGCTCAAATAGTGAAGGAGTTGCCACAAATAGCGCTAAAAAACTGCTTGTATTGTTTAATGCTTCGTTAAGGCTGACTCATGTACCCACCCAATGGAAAGTAGCGGAAATCATCATGATTCTCAAACAGAGAAGGGCAATGAAAACCTACAGACCAATTTCATTGCTACCAGAGTTGTCAAAGTTGTTTGAAAAATTTCTCTTCACTCCACCACTGACCAGGTACAAAGGCTAACAAACGTTATTGAAGACACACTTGAAAATAACAGTTCTTTTCCGCTGTCTTCCTCGACATTCGACAGAGTCTGGCATAGAGGACTTGTATTCAAGATGAAGAGCAACTTGCCTGAGCCGTATCCTATAATCTTGGCGTTATAACTAGCAGACAGACTATTCAGAGTTAAATTTGCAGACGACAGGGCTATATTAGCAACTAAAACAACTGTTGAACAAGCCTCAAGTAAATTATAGAAATCATTAGATTAGGTGGCCACCTGGACAAAAAAATGGAGGTTTTAACTAAATGAATCCATATCCATTCACATTAACATTACCAAGAGAAGATCCAGTTAGGATTCTACTCAATGGCGCTCAAAACGTTGGCTTGACTTTTTGAAAAATAAAACTGAATTGAACCTAAAATTGAGCAGAATGTATTGGCTGCAGAATGTACACAACTAACTTTTGCTATATAATCAGATTCTTAAACCTGCTTAGACCCATGGTATACAATTTCGGGGGAGTACCAAAGATACCAACATTAAAATAATACAGACATTTCAAAACAAAGTCCTTCGAATAATAGTTAATGCACTATGGTACGTAAGCAACGATATTTTGCACCGAGATCTCAAAATACGTACTGTAAAAGAAATAAAGAAATCTGCAACCAGTCCCCAGTTAAAACTGCTACAGCACGATAATCCAAAGATAAAAATATTGATCAATTTCCTTAACAAAAATAATTTCCAATATCCCTTCCATTTGAATTCTATATAAATTTGAATTTTATTTTTGATTTGCTGTCTCAGTTTACTGGTCTGATAGATACATATGTATATGTATAAGGTATTAGTAAAAACTATAAAAATATTTTAAAATCTTTTTTTATTTGAAATATACATATGTATGTATGTATGTAAAAAAATCCAATTTTAACAAAATTTAATTTTTTTTTCTCTTTAAATAAATTTATTTTATATTTTTATATTTTATATTGCAATATCTTTTTGCCCTTGAAATAAACATATTTTTTTTAATTTTGTACGTCCTTGTGTGTTATTTGCAATGTAGCGAAAAATTTATCCATGTGAAACTTTGTTTCAATTCGGATGCAATGTTGTGTTGGTGAAGTTTGGCTATAAAACTGTATACTATACTCACTATAGTAGATAATATATGTATGTATCCTCATAAACTTCCTCATTATTTAATTAAGCTTCACATACCTATTCATTCTAAAACAATATATTTTTTAAACAATGCGCACTAATATTTTATTTTACTTTGTGGTCCAAATTTTCACTCCATAAAGGAAAATATTAATAAAACAATCCACATTTAAAAAAAATATTTATTACATACAAATTTGGTATAGCATTTGTCGTTAAATAAATTTTTAGGTTCTGTTTGATAAAATATTTGAGAGGAAAACTTCTTCAATGCACTTTCTTTACATTTAATTCTGCAATCCACTTTCTTTACATTTCATTCTGCAATCCACTTTCTTTTCATTTCATCAATTCAAGAACTGTAATCACATATAGAAAACAAAAGTTCATTAAAAATATCTTTAAAATTTTATAGAAAACAAACTAATTTTCCTTAGAAAAAAAACCCGCTTTTAAAAAATGTCATCCGCAGTAATTTTAGTTTAAAACAAAACAAAAAATGTTTTATTCGCAAAATTAAAAACTTAATTAATTTACGAATTATGAATTGTCTAAAACAAATATTTCCTTTCATTTATCAAAATATGCATATGGAGGAAAACATCCATTTGTTTTTTAAAATGGGAAAACAAAAATATGAACCTTTTTCCTATTCCAAAAAAATTTGTTCTTTTCTCCAATGTTATATTTTTTTTTATAAAATAATAATCTTTTATACTTATTATTAAATATTTTATAATTTTTTATTTACATACTGCACTAATTTTTAAACTAAAATACAAAACTTTATTTGTTTACTCTTTTTACTTTTCCAAGGAAAATAAAACAACATTTAGCATTCAACGTCAATTTCAATTTGTTAATTCTTAGCAAAGTATATCTACCAAAGTATATCTACTATTAAGTAGTTCGACTCTCCGTTTACATCACACTAATGCAATCACTCACCAATATTTGTATACAAAAAATTCCCTTAGTTAAAGAGTTAAGCAGTATACCTTCTTATTTTAATTTTTATACACATAGGAATTTTTCCTGTGTATTTTCAACCTGTTTTTTTATAATGTAATTTTGAAAGGCGACACTTTATTATTTTTTCCTATATAAAGTATAGGGAAAAATATTAAGAATTTTAAAAGCGACACAATAATTTCTGTAATTCATTCCAGTACAAGGTGGCAAAAAGGTGTATTCATGTTATAAAAGCGAAGCGGAAAAAAAATGTTTAAAAAAATTATTATAATTTACATATATGAAAAATAATAACAATATATTTTCAAAAGACGTATAATATTAAAAAAAAATTTAAGTAGTTGCGAAAAAAAAAAAATTTTTTATAATAATGGGTAAACATTATTTGAAGTGTTTGGGATGCAAAAAACCCGACACGAAAATTTCATTTGTTGCCAAAAGATGTGAAGAGGTAAATATGTAGATGTACTTTTGAAAATATTTTAAATATTTAGTGTTAGGCGTTTGTAATTAATAAATAAAATAAATAAATTATCTTTAAATTTTTTATTTTTATTTCAATCTTAATAAATTTAGAACATATTTGCTATGAATAATATATTTCCCGGTAATAATTATATTTCATAAAGTAATCAGTACCTTTTTTTCTTTATAAATTACTTTATTTTTATGTCACTACCTGATACTGTGTATCTACTGTACCAGGTACATGCATGTGTACATTCTTACATGAAATTTCAAACTCTTTTGCTTTCATACATTCGAATTTTTTACCTAATTTTTATAAAATGAAAAATAAATTTTGTTATTATCAAAATAACAAAATTTTTACCTAACTTAATTTAATTTTATTTTAGTTCAATACACTCGTTTGTTTACAATATTTTGTTTCTTTCTTGCCTACACAACTCTTATAACCATCTATTTCTACAAAAAAATGGAATATTTTAAGAATTTGGAAGCAAGATGCAAACGAAAACTAACGGAATGGAACGAGTCGAATTACTTATTAGTAGATATACTTTGGTTTTTATTCACATTGAACGAGGAGCACGATTAGGCTGTTAACGTGTTAAACAATCATCAATAATAGGCAACGGTATAACAATTGCTTATTTTTTTTTAATTTTCGGGTGCGTAGTTTTGGAAATTTAATTGATATTTTTTTTTTTTGAGTAAACATCACTTTTCATTATTTTGTAAAAAGTGGTTGTAGAATTAAAGCTCACTCAAATTGAATAAAATGAGATGAAACTTTAATAAAACTCTTTGTTTATTAATATGCATTTCTCTTATAAAATATACATATTTTGCTTCTTGAGATTCCACCAAAAATTTAAAAGCAATTGAATTCCCATTTGTGTATTCTATATAATGAAATCTGCTAAGACATATTAATTATAATTTACAAATAAGTCCAGTTTTCTATAAATTTTCAATTATAAATTTGAATTATTGTTTTTTCCTGTATTAATTACTATATTTTTTTCGGAGCTAAATAAACAAAGTAAAAGTAACATGTCATATAAGTATTACGAGTAAATATATAAAATTAAACACATATCTTTAATGTAAAATTAAATTAACAGTTCTAAACTTGAAGTATTTCCAAGATGTCATCAAACTTTTCAATGAATTTATTTCCTGAATGAATCAAAATGTTTCCTCGATACATTCACTCATTTAACATTTTTATATTTTGGAAGAAATTCAAAAGTCAATTGATGCAGTTGCCAATCCAAAATATATTAAAAATATAAATAATAAGGTATAACCAGATAAATTTTTTTTAGAAGGTGAACTATGACTTTTAAGATTTTTTGAAGAGAAAAACATTATTTAGAAAAAAGGTACTGTTTTTATTTCTAGAGTGAGTGCCAAAAGCAAAATATTTAATTTTTTAGTACAATAACTCTTCGAAAAAATTATACTTTTTATCCCACTTCAAAAATAAATTATTCGACTTTTAAAAAATATACGGATTTTTCGACAAAAAAATTAATTGTGGAATAAAATATTACACTTTGGCAACACTTTTTGATGAGTCATTGTAGTTTGTAGGTACCATTAAGTAGTACTGTGATCTCTTTCTTTCTTGATTTAAAATTTTTTGTCCGAAAACTCCTATTTTTTCCCTTTTGGAAAATGAATTTTTTTCCAATAAAATTCCCCTCTAGGAATTTTTTTTTTTTTTTTTTTTTTTTTTTTTTTTTTTTATTTCTCTTTTAATATATCGCAACTAAGTTAATTAAACCTATCTAGCAATTTATTTTTCACGTGTAGAGAGAGTGGGAGAGCGTCCAACGACGGTAACCCCGGATTTTATAATTATATTATGGCTGCAAGATCTAAAGGTCTTCTTCTTTTTAAGCGACGTGTTGCACTACTATCTTCATCTTCAATTATTTTCCTCATTTCTATGTTTTCGTGTTGCGTTGTTCTTTCGTTGTGGTTAATTGCATATTTCCTTATTTCTTGTTCAACTGTGTTGATTTTTAAGTCTCTGTGAATAGTGGAGTTTCTGACATACCAAGGAGCATCTACAATACATCGAAGCACCTTGTTCTGGATTGTCTGTATAATTTGGTAATTGCTTTTCTTAGTACATCCCCAAAGTTGGATACCATAAGTCCAAATTGGTTTAATAATTTGATTATATATTAAGAGCTTATTATGTAAGTTGAGCTCAGATTTCTTTCCGATTAACCAGTTAAATTTTCTTAGTTTCAAATTTATTTCCTCCTTCTTTTTCTTTACGTGGGTTTTCCAGCGTAATTTAGCATCTAGGGTCATTCCTAAATACTTTGCTTCATTAGCGTATGGCACTGCCTCATCATTAAGCATAACAGGGTTAATGGTTCTGTTTGTAAGATTTACGTTAACGGATTTAGATTCGTTAATTTTAATACGCCATTTTTTCATCCAAGAGTTGACTAAATTTAAGTTTACTTGTAGCTTGTTTGAACATTCCTCAATTGTCTTTCCCGTAGCTAAGATTGCCGTGTCATCTGCGAAAGTGGCTGTCATTGTTGAACTTATTTCTGGGATGTCTCTTGTGAAGAGGAGGTATAGCACAGGACCCAGCACACTACCTTGTGGGACCCCAGCCTCAATGTTTCTAATATCTGAATATTCGTTATTGTGCTTAACTCTAAAAGTTCTACCGGTAAGATAGGATTCTAGAATCACACACATTTCATTCGGCAGTACCTTATTCAATTTGCATATTAAACCTTTATGCCACACCTTATCAAAGGCCTGCGCCACATCTAGGAATACTGCTGAGCAAATTTCCTTATTTTCCAACGCTTTTTCTATGACATTAGTAATCCTGTGAACTTGATCAATTGTAGAGTGACTCATTCTAAATCCAAACTGGTGGGCTGGTATTAAGTTTCTTTCTTGAATAATCGGCATAATGCGAGCCAACAGCATTTTTTCCAACAGCTTGGATATAATTGGCAGGAGTGAAATCGGTCTATAGGACTTCAGATCGGTAGGTGGCTTCCCTGGTTTAGGAATCATCATAATTTCTGCAACTTTCCATATTTCCGGAAAATATTTTAAGCGAATTACCGCATTGAACAGGAATAGCATTTTCTTAACAGCAATAGTTGGTAGTTCTTTTAATATTTTTGCGGTGATAAGGTCATACCCTGGAGCCTTCTTGTTATTGGTTTTCTTGATCTCATTACGAATTTCAGATAAAGTTATTTTCCTAATGGTCATGTGATTGGAATTAGCAACTTGGTTTGCGTTTTCCAAGAAAGTCTGCCTGGGAAGAGGCTTGAAAATATTCTCTAGGTACTCAGCAAAGCAGCTAGCTTTGTCCATATCGGTTATAGCCCATGAGTTATCAGATTTCCTTATCGGTGGAGCTTGACTTATTGGTTTATTTGTACTCTTGACTGTTTTCCAGAGAGAGTAATCGTTCTTGTTATCTACAGATAGTTTACTTAATGTATTTGCAACTGTTTCATTTTTAATTTGTTTTAAAAGCTTTTTCAATTTATTGCACATGCGATTGAAATTCGTTTTATCAACTGGAGCTCTGGTAATCTGCCATCTTTTCCTAGCTTTTCTTTTTTCTTTTATTAGTTTCCTTACTTCTAGTGGATATATAAAATTATTATTGCTATTGGTTATCATGCGAGGATTAGTGTTATTCCAGACAGAATTTTGAATGTCAGTAACCAACTTGTTTGCTTCGATTTCTAATTGTTGAGCATTTCTCAGAGGAGTATTTAATTCGATGTTGGCTTGTAACTCATTTCTGACATTGTTCCAATTAGTTGATTTATTACATAGCTTAGGTGGTTCTTGTTTAGTAATTACGGATTCGCTTATGGTAAGTATCACAGCAGTATGATCTGAGCTTAAGTCAAGATTTTCTTTAACATGCATGTAGTTCCCAGAAATCCCTCTGGAGATAAAGAAATCTATTAGGTCTGGGGTTCTATTCTGATCTGCAGGCCAATACGTAGGTTTACCAGATGAGTGAAAATCGCAGTTCATTGTAGTCGCCGCTTCGTAAAGAGCTTTGCCTTTAGGCGAATTAACTCTCGAGCCCCATGCTGTGTTTTTGGCATTTAAATCTCCGCCCATTATAAAGTTTGCTCCCAGCTTACTGAAGAGCCATTTATAGTCTTCAACCTTCAGATTGAATTTAGGAGGACAGTAGATAGCTGACACTATGAATTCTTTATTTTTAAACATTATTGCAACCGATGAGACTTGCATGTGATTTTCTTCAATTTTAGGTACCTCGTAGTGACTAATATTATTCTTAATAATTATTGCAGTGCCTCCCTTGGCCTTATTTTCCGGATGCTGGGTGTGGTAACACGTAAATCCTCTTATATTTAAGTAGCTTTCCTTTGTAAAGTGCGTCTCAGATATTAAGCCTACATCAATTTTTTCATCATGTAAAAATATTTCAAGTTCGTGAATGTGGTGTAAAAGGCCATTAGCATTCCATGTCATAATTCTGATTGATTTCGTCATTTCTTATTAATTCTAGAGTTTAATTTATTTTCTATCGAGCTAATTCTATTATAAATATTTATTTCAGATTTTTTCTGTTCGTCTAGTTTGTTGAGGATCAGGATTAGAGTGTTTTCAATGTTGGATGTATCGTATCTTTGATATGTGCTCGCAGCCTGAGCATAAGTTCGCTTATCTTTTAGATTAGAATTGATGACTTGATTAATCTTGTTAACATTATTATTTATGTTAGAGTTTTTATTAGAATTACTGGTATGAGCTTGTGGAAGACTATTTGCACTTGGAAGATTCCTTGATCTAGAAGCTAGGTCTCTCCTTTTCTGTAGGTCTTTGGCTATTTTACAGCCCCTATAGTTTGCTGGATGGCTGCCTCCACAGTTGGCGCATGACGCAGGAACATCTCTTTTGCGTGGGCAGTTGTTAGAGAGATGGCTGTTACCACATTTGACGCATTTTGGATCCTTTTTGCAGAAGTTACCCGAATGATTGAATCCCTGGCATCGCTTACACTGAACTATAGCCTTACTTGTTTTCTTAACAGGTTCAATTTTAACTATAAGATTTAGTATTGACCTTATTTCGTAAATTTTTGTTATATTTTCACTTCTATCAAAAGTCAGCATGAAAAGAGGCAATTTCTTTTTCTGTAGAATAAGTTCTCCCCTTTCATCGACAACTCTTTCGTTTTTAATTATATTTACAGCGTCTACAATCTTAAGACCTTGACTGGTGATATCCTCAATGATTTCATTTCTATCACAACTCCAATGGAGACCCCTGGCCATAACTCTAAACGGTCTCTCATTTTTATCCTCGTAAGTAAACCACTCGATCTTTTCACTTTCAAGTTTTTTGACCAGTAGCCTATAGGATTCAGGGGTGTCTGGGTTAACTTTCCACACGTTTTGGTTTAGTGAAGTAATTTTATAGTTTTTTATATTCGAATCTAGCAACATTTTAACTTTATTATAATCTTCGATCCCAACAAGGTTTATAGGAGGTGGCTTCCTTTCCCTAATTTGCTGGAGATCATCCCTTTCACTGCTAGTAATACTAGCTCCATTATTAGTTTGGACTTTATTAGTATTATCTAGGAATTTAACCCGAAAATATTGTATTTAAATAAACTTAATGAGTTATTAAGTTTATTAACATTATTAACAGGAATATTAGTTTTTTAGTCCAACCTACACAGTTTTTTAATTTAACCGTTTCGCTCCGACTTTTATAAAACCATCTCTGCAAATTTTCCTTATAATAAATATAATCTTACTTACCCAACGAACACATAAATTTCTGGATTTTTTTTTAAAATGTCCTGTTCAGGATTTACAGTCCTGGGATAAAAAAGTCCCAGCAGCCTTTTTGCTTGGGACATTTCTATCCCTGCAGTTTAATGGAAACAAAAATTTAAATCAGAAATTCAAAATATTTATTGATTAATTCATAGAATTTACATGAATTTTAAAAAAATTATGAGTGACACGGAGTGAAACAGTTTTTGCAAAAAGCTAGATCACAAGCCTTACACATTTGTCGTGTTCTACTTTCTTTTCCCTTTCTTTTGCAGCCTTCACAACGACGTCGCATAGTTCCAAGAATTGGTAAATGATCACCAATATTGTTAAATAAACGTGCACGCTTCGAATTCCTTCCGTCTTTTCTAGTACGCTTTATCGCCGCAGATTTTCTCCCATTAGCTATAAGTTGTTCAGACAAATCAACAAGAAAATCTTTAAATGGTTTTTTTTCTCTGTGAATTTCAGAATAAACAATCCAAGCATTTACTGCACAGGTCATTATTAGCCGAAAAAAAACTTTTTTCCACCATTTTGTAGATTTTCTGTCCAAATCATAGACGCCAACCATTTTGTCTGCCAAGTCAACACCTCCCATGACATAACGGTAACATTTTATAATGTCTGGACAAGGCACATCTAACTTTTGACCATCTTTCATTTTACGTTTTACAGTTCCAACAGTATTGGTATGGCAATTACTTAAAACCAATACCTCCTTCGTATCTTGCCACTTCACAGCCATTGTACCATGTTGATTACTTTTAAATATATATTCACCCCTTTCAAGCTTGGCGGTTATTTTTGGAAGATCCTTTCGATTTGCGATACATGTTCCAAGGGCTGGATAAGGGAGAGTATTTACCAAATGAACTGATGTGAAAAATCGGTCAAAACATAGAGTAACATCAGTTTCGGTAACAGTTTCCATTAATTTATTCACAACACGCTCTCCAAGAGTGCCATGTAAAGATCCGGTTTCCTTACCAGAATAAATGTTGAAATCATAGGTATAGCCAGTCAAAGAATCGCATCTCATCCAAATTTTAATACCACGTTTAATTGGTTTTAATGGCATATACTGTTTCATAGAAGAACGCCCCAGAAATTTGGTCATGCTCTCGTCTATACTCTGGAATGGGCTATCTTGCCGCATTTCTCGGAAAGTTTTTTTACAGCAATTAACAATATCATCCATGTAATAAGTTTTTGGTGCATTTGAAGGCTGTTCTACGGGGGCGAAGTACATTTTTGCCATCAATATTTGAAATCTGTCCCGTGAAATTGCTTCTTTTATTGCCAGATTTTGTAACGACTTTTTTTTGGACCAATAGTCAGATATAGCTGGTACACGATTGTAGCACATTATAAATGTACAACCCAAAACTATCATTATTTCTCCGTAATCAGTGTCCTTTACAGAACTACGATTACTCTTAGATGATCGATGAATTTCTAATCTTTGATTAGTGCATTGCGCGATCATCTTAGATGATCGATGAATTATGTGCATTGCGCATAAATCTTAAAAATACATCTGATTCAGTATGATAGCGAGATACTTTAGGACTCAATGTACATTTACGAATCTGCGAAATATCTTTTCTAGGTACAAAATTCATCGGCGGATCCATCCAAATATTAATATTATTTACAGGTATTTCAGCTTCTGTTGCAGATTCAACCGCTGCTACAGATTCAGTTGCTGTTGCAGATTCATCCGCTATTGTAGGTTCAGCTATTGTCGGAGGTTCAGCTGCTGACGCAGGTTCAGTTGCTGCATCATCTCCTGTTATTAACGGAAATTCCTCATTATGTGAACCCGTATCAGATTCAGAAACATCTTCAAATTCAGAAATATCTTCAGATTCTTCATCTAGTTGCGACGGGGCGTATAAATCATCAGATCCGTCAGAAAAATCAGCCTCAGAACTATCTTCTTCCAATTCTTGTTCTATTTCATGTGGTTTCATTGATTTTCTTGCCATTTTGTAATTATACCTGTTAAAATAATCAATTGTAATCACACAATTTGGCTAAGTTGAAATTGTACATATAAATTTCCGATTGATTAAAAAGTCTGCTGGGATACAAATAGCCCGTTGTAAAATACTGCTGGGATATTTTAATCCCACATATACTAAAATTGTACAAAAACCACCCTAAAAACCAAAATAACTTACCTTTTTTACGAAAACTATAACAGAGAACACTTTTATTTTAAATTTGCACTTGTTCTTTATCACTTATCACTTTTTTTTTTAAAATATTGAACTAAATTATTCCTCCGATGTGAATCAAACCGCCAATAAAAGCCAACTGTCAAAAACCTATTTATTTTTTTGAATGAAAATGATCGATAATGCAGTCAGGAACTTATAAAATACGTTTTGGTAAACTTTTATCCCGAAATAAATACATATTTTGCTTATCCGACTTTTTTAAAAAATGTGTGGGATAAAAATATCCCAGGAGTAGTGAAACGGTTAAAGGACACCATTACAAACAATAAAAGAGGTGTTGTGACCGTACGAAATATCACATTTCCGCTTTTCAAGGAAAATGCAGTATTTCATAGTACGAAAACGTAAACAAGCTATGTGTTTTTCCAAACATAAACAAATAAAAAGATAAAATTAAATTAAATAAACAGGGAATTAGATAAAATTGATAAAGCAATAAAAAAATAATTCAGTACAAACATTTCCGCGAAATTTCCAATTTTTTTATTGAATTCCTCAGCGACTTCGAAATTCCCAAAAATTGGCAAATTCTTAACGATTTTGGCATTACTGTGCTTAATTTGACAATATCATTGTTTAAAGCCAAGGTATACAAAAACAAGGCAGTGTGCAAAATTATTGACAGTTATCTGTGACGTCATAGGACACAAATAAAAGAAGTACTATTACATATTGAAAGAAAAATGGCAACTATCGTAAAATAACATGTTGTAATTGTTTTAGTTTATTTTTTTTTCTAAATTTTGTCTTTAACTTATTCGGTCTCATAATTTTGTTATTTCCACTGACATATTGATATTGATACCTAGCTTGGGCTTTTGCAAATATTTTTTCTATAGGTTTGCAGATCATACTGTTTTGTTTTAATGGTCGGTTTTTAATTTTTTGTTTGTCCGTTTGTCAACTTTCTTTTTAATGATAATATTTCTGGATCCTTAGTATTTCTAAAATCCATCTAAAAAGTAGAAATAAATTATAATAAAAAAGAATACAAAATTTTTCAATTGAAATTTGTTTATATTTCGAGTTTAAGAAGCCATATTTTCAGTAATATCTTTTATCATTCATGGTTTAAGAGTAATTGTCGATAAAACTAAGGGTATTGTTTTTGATTAATACTTATATTCACCCTTATTGTATGCGTAGCTTAGTTTGAAATTCGTAGAATTCTACGAGTGAGATTCACAATAAGGGTGATTAATATCCTTTTATTAAATTTTTGTCGTTCCTTCTTGTTTTTCCTATTGGTTCGACATAAATGTTTTTTTTTGTTGCATTTTTTAAACAAGAATCTGATTCTACAAAATGATCTGACAGCATTCATATAACGCTGCTTATTTATAGTATAAGCTCATACAGTGCATTCTACTTTGTGCAATGTGGGGAATCTTAAAAACATAAGTAAATTGTTTTACTGTCTTTCTACCCTCACAATTCCTAGAGTTTTTTCCCATATTTAATTTTTTATAAACACAATGTCACTTAATAATTTTTGATAGTTTTATGCATTACCCAGCATTTACACGTACAAGTTACTTGCAAGAAAGTTGCAATACATACAAAAATTTTACTAACACATTGAAATATTTCTACTTGCTTGTTTACTTGCAGTTCAACTTGCAAGAAAATTTTGCTGCCAGTAATTTGAGCAAGTAATTTGACATATTGAGAAATTCACAAAAAAAAATTTGTTGCTTTGATTTTTTTTTTTTTTTTTAATTTAAAATTTTTGAATTTTGTTTTGAAAAAATTAAACTTAGCAAACTTAGCTAGTTGTTTTCTTCTCAAAGACATTTTCAAAAATTAACTTGCTAAAAGCCTACGTCATAATAGCAAGTAATTTGACATTTCGAAAAACTAATTGACAATTAATATTATACAAACTTGCATGCAAGTAACTATAACATTTAAGTACATTATAATAGACAAAGATAGCTTTTAAAACTTAATTTTTGATTGTTTTAAAAAAAATTTTACTTAATTTTTAATTTTTGCTCTTTATTTTAAGATTTCTAACAAGCAAATGAATTCCACCATATCCAGTTAGGTCACTACATAAAGTAGTCAATACGACAACTCATTTTGCAAATTGCCTTGTTTATGTATGTATATATGTGGTAAGTATGTATACATGCCGGCTTAAACCCGGCTGACAGCAATATTTTTGTAATTTCAAGGGTTTAAAGCTTTCATTCAGGAATTTATTTAAGCATTTGTCATTACTAAACAATACAATGCACATGCATCGTTGCAATGTTTTATTAATTTTATTATTAAGTTAAAATAGAATTTAACTGATGAAAATTTTTAATTCTGCACAAAAAAAAGAAATAAGTCGTAATATAAGTCGTGTATAAAACATCTGCCGTATAAAAAATTTCCAGATAAAAATGGAAGAAAGTGGAAAGTTGGGAGATATTGTTATCGAAAATAAGGAAAATTTAAGAAAAAAAAAAATCATAGAAACCAAACTAGGGTAAGTAGATTTGAAATAATGGATAAAGTGGAACAATGTCTAGTAATAAATTATCAGGGCTTCATTATAATAAGAGTTAAATTTTATTTGAAAGAAGTTTCTATTTCCTAATTTATCCTATGTCAGTACACACAAATAAGAGTTCATTCAAAATAAAATTCTTAAATTCAAAATAAATATGTACATTGTACTTCAAAAATGTGCAAGTGACGCAATCGTATTGTTAATTTTTTTTCAATATTTTGTTGGTATGTATCTATATGTATATTTTAATTGATTGACCGTTGATTAATAATATGTAGGGTTTTGTATCAGAACATCATATCTACATCTCTGACAAAAAAAGTTATGAATGCATTATTACTTAAAATTAAGCGCTTTCTAAAGCGAAAAAAAAAATAATTTTTTCAGTAGTTAAAAAAAAATCTTTGAAGAACATTATAACTAACCAAATGTTCCAAAAATTTTTTTAACAAAATTAGAATTACAATCAAAATGCACTTACGGCACTAATGTGCACATCCCAAGAGTAACGACCTCTTTCAAAAATAAGGCCATTTTCATACAAAAAATAATGCAAAACTGACCTTTTAACAAAATAAGTTTTAAATATTCCACTCCTCTCATTTTTTCCCCCTTCTTGTTATTAAATTAGAAAATCGAGTAAAAAAATAAATAATCCAAATAAAACATAAGAAATATAAAGAGAAAAAAATGTCATACTGTGATAAACAGTAAATATGTAAAGTACGTATACAGTTTTTTCTTTAATATTGTGATGTGTACATATGTATATTTGATATGTATAACAGAGTAAACCTTTTATTGTAGTATTGCCATTATTTTCGGTAAGAGCTGCTGAGATATTATGCAAAAATCTCAGCAGTATAAATGTAGTCAAATAACATTTGAAGTGGTATGAGCTTCACTTCAAAAGTTATTCGACTACATTTCAGAAGTTGTTGAAACTATAGCATTAAAATCTCGCACAAAAAATAAATTAGTCATATATGTATTACGGAATCTCTTGAAACAATGCTGAAATTTTGCATGAACAAATATGGCAATATCCTGCTCTACGACTTGGCAGTGGCCGTATTTGAAAAGCACCTCCACGCCCGAAATGGGCTGATTCAGAAAGTCCTTGACCTCGTTTCTGATTAGACTGCTGTGCTAGATAACTAAACTCGTTGCTAACTGGATAGCTGTGGCTTAACTGTCAACTCTAAAAGACGGAGTTATCTTCAGCAGGAGATATAAGGTTCCAGACACAACTCCTTTGAGACTCAATGGAATTCGCCTATACTTCAGCAGGAAGGCTGAATTTCTGGGTTTGATTGTGGATTCGAACGTTAACTGAAACTTATACATTATGGAGAGAGTAATAAAAGCAACTATTGCTTGTTCAAGAAAACCATTGGAAAAAGGTGGGGCCTGAAACCAACCATGGTATGTTGGCTATACATCGCGGTGGTGAATCTCTGGAGTGTGAAGTCTTTATGTCCAGAACAGTGTTAGATTACAGGCCGTCTCTAATGAGATGACCAAACTTTTAAATTTTCTCAAAATAATTTTCTCCAAAGCTTTACAAAACTTTGAGAAACGAAACTTTAAAATTTTAAGGGACGGTCCGAATTATTGTAGATTAAAAGACTTATTTAAATGTCCCAAAGAACCGTAAAACGCTTACAAGATCTATCGCCGTTACGAAATATAAATCCGTTGCAGAACAAATTTCCTTCCGAAGTTGCCAATAACACAAGTCCGCAGCCGCAATCTCATGAACCTGTAAAGGCAAAAATCGAGTTTTCGGTGGGAATGCACTTCTCCATAGTAGGGAAGTGTAAGTAAACTATTTTTAGCAATCTGTCGGTCTGTCGGTCGGTCATTTTGAAGAAAATATTTAACCGATTTACTTGAAATTTCATATATAAGCTTTGCTCGATCGTCCGCAAAAAGTCCTAACTTTTGGAAGAAATCAGGAATCAGCAACTGGACGTTTACTACGGGCCAAATATACATTTTTGTGTATATAAAGAGAAATAATCAACCGATTTCATTGAAATTTAATATTTAAATTCTTCGTATTGAAACAATGGAGATATAAATTTTTTAGAAAGATCAGGGCTCGAAAACTGATCTGCGGGCCGATTTTACATTTTTCACCATATCTACGGAATTGATGGAATTTCTTGAAATTTGATATTTGAGTTGTGGTTGTTACCGGAACTAACTGGCGAGCACTTCAGGGAATTCGGGTAGCACAAAGCGAAACTTTACTAAGAGCCAAATTAAATTTTTCTAGGTATGTTAATTATTAATGCTTACTAAAGCTTACTAAGGTCCTAAAAATTGGAAATAAGTATTAAACAGACATTTTTATATAATTCTGTAACACTTTCACTTAACTAGACAATACACATTGCGGTCGGTAATGTGCTGATCACATCAGATTTTTTTAACATGCATTAAAATTTTATAACTTTGATATTTCAGGGTAGATTGTAAGTTTTTGGTAGGCAAAGAACCAAATCAGAAAATATTTTCTGGGCATAAAATTATCTTGGCCATTGCTTCCCCTACTTTTGAAAGTTATTTCTGTGGAAACTTGCCTCCAGAAGACGTAATAAAAGTGCCAGATGTTGATCCGCACATATTTCAAATGATGATGGATTACATTTATTTAGATGAGATCAAAATTTTGGATATAGACGATTCAATTGATTTGTTATATGTCGCTAAAAAATATTTCATTACACCTCTGGTAAAGTTATGTACAGATTACCTGCTTCGAAACTTAAATCCATCTAATGTTTGTAAAATATTTGAATATGTTTGTTTATTTGATGAAGCTGATTTAAAAAATTTTTGTCTGCAATTTATATCTGCCAGAACTAAAACAATTCTTCTTGACGAAAAATTTTTAGAAGTTAAACCCACTACACTTTTTGACATTTTCAGCTTAAGTCGATTAAATATTGATTCGGAATTGGATTTGTGGAATGCTTTAAATAACTACGTAATTAATAATGATTATATTGCACCACTGGAACAAAACGAATTAAAAAAAAGTAATTTAGAAAAATCTGCAAAAATAAATTTTGAAGATAATAAAATTTTGGCTAATGGTGTTGTTAAAGAAAATAACAAAGATGTTGTAAGTAATGAAGAAAATTTAGAAAAATCTGAACAAGATGGAAATATTGTGAAAAATGCTATAAAACCAGCAAATGTCGAAAAAAATTATAAAAACTTTGTAATTTTGAAGCAAGCTGCTGAAAATATTAGATTTTTGACACTAACTCCGCAAGAATTTTCTAGCATGTGCATACTTCCTGAAATTATGAACGATTCAGAGGCACTTGCTTTGCTTATGAAAATTTGTAATCCAAATTGTTCTCGTTCGTTTCCGAAAGGCTTCTCTATTTTTACGACTAAACGAAATGCTCCACTGGCGCTACAAACTAATATTCAAGTTCAAAATACATTCACGCAAACCAATACTTTATATAACGATGGATGGAATAATGCACTTGGGCAGAATTCTCGCTCATTCGGTGGTAAAACTGCATATTTTTAAGTATAATCAAATTATTTATTTATGATTTTAGCGACAAACTGTACTTATTGTGGACGACAAATTTGTGAATCTTCAAAAAGATGTAAGTATAAATGCGTACTGATCAAGAATTTTTTCAATAATTTTAAAATACATACGCGGCATTTTTACTTTTAGATGATAGTGTTGAATTATATAAAAAACATTTATTGATATCCTTAGTTAAAGCAAAATGTATAAACATAAGGGATAAACCAAAATACCAAATGTGTTTTAATGTTGATGAGACTATATATCTAACAGGTAAAGTTGTGAATAATGTAATTCTCTTTGTAATCGTCATATTATTTTATTTCATAATATAGGAGTGGTCCTTCCTACACAAATGTCGGAACTTAAAAGTGATTATATTGAATGTTTAAGAATTTGTGTGTTAGGTGATCAAGACCAAATTCTAGGCCATACCAATTTCACAAAAAAATTACCGTACAGTTCGTTTTTTTCTGTATTATTTCCTGTAAGGGTGCCTATAGACACAAAAATGATTTATAAAATTGAGATTTCATATTATACCAATGGACGTTACCCGATGTACTCAAGTTTTAACGAGGTGATTAATATAAAAAATACTTGGAATGTAGCATATAGGTAGTCCATGCAGAAGTGGATTTATATTTTGTGATTTTGAAGATGTCGGTCTGTCGGTCATTGTGTGTGCGCCTCATAAAAATATATACATTTTCGCCAAAATAGACAGCAGATCTTGCGACCACTTATATGCTGACCAAATCAAATTTTATTAATTGCTAAGTCATACTATTCGCTTATTTCTGTTTTATACTTTTCAGGCTCAATATAACAATGTAAACTTTTTGTTTTTCATCGAGTTGGAAGATAATCCTTTAAGAGCAGGTTTGATAAGAAAAATCTTGTTTGAAACTTAAAAAATGGAGAAGGCATCTGTACAAAAAAAAAACAATTAAAAACTCATAAAAAGATTTATTTTGAGTTATCAACGAATTAATGATTGAAAAAAATTATTTGTATCGTTAAACAAATAGAGTAAAAATCAGCTTATAAATGTGTTAAATGTTGACGTACTACACAAAATAACATATGTAAGGTTTTGTTAATTAGTTTAATCTGAATAAAACCTGTATGTGTGTATATTTAAGATGTTTGTTTTTTTAATAAATTAGATGTTAATATCATAAGAGGTGTAATTATCACTGAGTGACAAAAAAATATTTGGCTGTGTTAATTTTGTGATACCAATACCATAAACTCTCATTCTGAGACATCTTAATATTTTTGCATTTGTTTGCATAGAAAATTTTTACAAATAACAGGACTATTGAATTTCTTTAGTCCACATATATCGCTGAGCGGCAAAATAATTTTAATTGTTGGTTAAAATTTTGATTTTAATTTAAGTTTAATGAATAATTATATTATTTGTGTTATTCTATAAAATGAAGATTTATAATTTATATTAAGTAAATTTTTTTTTTTGTTCGTAATAATTAGTATAAAACAAATTAAGTTTCTAAACATTTTTCGCGTTCTATTTACCTGTTCAAACTAGTATTTTAACAAGAGATAAATTTTGTTCTCGGAATTACATATGTTGACTATAATTATTATATTCGAAATAATAACTAAGCCCATAATTCAAAATGAATTCTTTTTACTTTCAAATTAAAATTTTTTCTAAAGTGAGAATGGGCTTAAGAATAATTATTAACTTTTGGCGTTTACAGAATTTTAAAAATGTTTCTGGTTTCTCAATATAAGTAGTTAAAAAGTGGAATCCAAAATAAAGAGCCAAAAAATTTTTGTGGGATTATAATTTTAAGTGATTGATAGAAATAAATATATAGTAAAAATTTATTTGTATACAAAATTTTAACTTTTAACTTGAAGCGTGTACAATTTTTTCAAACAAACGCACAGATGGATGGACAGAGGGAAATTAATAAGCAATTTTTCTCTTCTTTAAATCTAAGTTTTTCTGTCAGCTCACGAAATTTCGAAGTTTAAAGAGACAATGAAGAAGAAATGGAAAGAAAGTCTTAAAACGAGAAATTAAAAGTAACGAAATTAAAAAAAACTATGTATACGATTGGTTTCTCACTACGCGTGGAAAAAATTTTTCAGTATCATGGTCTCTTCTACAAAAATAGCTCTTAAAATTGCTATGTAGTTTGATTTAACTTTTCAGGCTTTAAATGGTTGCAAATAAAATTTTACAAAACATCTGTAGTAGTCAAAGATGTTGATCAATTAACAGTTGACAATTGGCAAAGCAAATTAAAAGAAATAAAATGAAGCGATGAAAACGACAACTCCGAAAAATTAGAAGAAGTTAAAATAGTGTCCTAAAAGTACCATTGATTCTGTACTTCAATTAAAAAAATTTGAATTTCAACAAAATAACATTGAACTTATAACTGAAGCATGCAAATATATGAATGAAATTCAAACAACATAAGCGGGAAAAAGAACGGTTCAGTAAAAAATTACCACCTTTTTCAAAAACTTTTAAATTTGTTGAAAATATCGAATTTTATTATGAACAAAGGAGCACCTGCCTTACTCGTAATAATAAATATAAGACATTCATGCGGTCTTTAAAATTAAGATTAAATATTGAAGTACATATTACAAATTTGAAGTCTGACTATCTATGTTAAGTTTTTTTATTTTTTTTTTGTTTATGTTTAATTTTTATTTTTGTTTAAATGTTTCGAAATAAATATGAATCTTAAATTTCGAATATTGAAATACATATGTAATCTTAAATTTGTTTTAATACAGAATCGCACAGCATTTCGATTTCAATTTTAGGATCGATTTTACATACAGTTGTCTTTTTTCGCATATGCATAGTTTGATGTTTGGATGTCTGACAACTTTCGCTCTGGTTTAGCAGAACTTTCGCTCTGGTTTCAACACTTTCTTACTAATCTAAATTAATATTTGTGAGAAAAATATAGAAATTAAATTTCGTAAAATATAAGAGTAAGAATCGTAACGGTCCGCGGGATTTAGAGCTGCGGGCCGCATGTTTGACGTGCCTGGGTTAGAGGATCGAAAATAGGTGAAACATTTTAAATTCCTTGCGAATGTATAACAAAATTTCTAATGTGTTGGGGATTCTAATGTATAATTTCTAATGTATAACGTTAACAAAGGTAACATAGATGTAAATATGTGGTACATACATATGTAATATTTAAATAGAATTATAGAATTTTTGTAAGGGGACATATACCTTCATATAAAAAGGGTCAAATAAACAGTAAGTGTAAAAAAAGAGTTAAGGGATGAACCTATAAATATTTATTTACAAAAAAAAAATAATTAAAATTTATTTGAAACACATATTCAAAATACATATATATACAAAGTATATATATATATATAGCTTCTGCGCAGGTTTTGAGTGATGATTTTTTCTTTAATCCAAATATATACATGGTTCTGTGGTATGTTTCTATTATTTTGATTCTTCACAAGTTAACGATTGAGGATCAAATAGTTTTTCGTCACCGCATGAAATTAAACGAGGATGGCCTTCGACACATGTTATCAACTTATGTGGATCATTTGAAACTGGAAACCGTGGGAAAGGCCAAAAGCGCGCTGCTGGTGAATCAGATGCGACATGATCCGGGCATTTGAAACCTACAACAGCTATATAAGAGATATTTTTAAATATACGTACATATATTTTTTCAGAAGTATATATGTACCTTCTGGATTACAAGTCTCAAGCAGCAAATCTGGCCAATTACATCCATGAATTCTATCATCATATACCAAACCCGCATCACACTCCTGCTGATGTGGTTCGCCGAAAGCGCACTTTGTATAACTTGTTGAGCATTCACCACTAATTGGATAAATACCAAATTGATACTCACAACCAGGTGATGAAATTGGTGTTGCTATTATAGTAAAAAAAAGCAAAATAAAAAAAATAATTTATTTTTTAATTGAATTACGATCATATTTTCTTGTTCCGCAATCAACAGCCCAATTATAATTGCAATGATTATGTGCGTTTCCTTTGCCATCGAATAGCAGTCCATTTTCACATGTTTCTAATGTAAGTGTTCCATTGGTGCATAAAAAGAATTGGTCGCATTGCTCTGGATGACCGTACGCTTGTTCACCATATGGCTCAGGACATTCTGGTACGCCTGGTAGTGCAATTGAGTGAACTAAAATGAAATTTGGAAAAAAAATTATATTTAATCAAAAATTTAATGGTATAATGATTGTTTTAAAGTGCAATGTACATACATATTTTATTGAAAATGTATTCTATTATGCTGAAAAAAAAAAAAAATGAAACATGGTGCTTCCTTTTAAGGTTGCTGGATATTTTATTGTATTTAAATTTATTAAAATTTTAATTTTAAGCGTTAAACTTCAAATGTAGATTCCCAGTGTAGATAAATATACCTGAATATCTCTGTTTTTAACCCTGCTGTAGGTTAAATGACAAACCTTATATGTTAGGTCAGTGCAATAGGTAAGCATTTTGTAGAAATTGAAACCATAATATTCAAGTGCAACCTTTGTTTTATTTCTTTTAAATTTCTACTTTTTTTCATCAATTACTTACATAATATGCATGTACGTAATAGGTTCAATTTTCAACTTGTTTAGCAACTGTGTTATAATAATAAAATTACTAAGTGCTAAGAATTCATTTAAATGTGAGTTTTTTAGCTTAATCCAAAATTTAATTTTAATGACTTTATTTTATTTGAAAAAGTATAGCAAATTATCCAAGTAAAAAACCGTTTTTGTATATAATTTACGAGTACATTGGTCCCCGAATATTACTTTAATTTTAGAATTTTTACATACACTTATAAAAACAAATCTGTTAATGAAGGTAATTGCAGAGTAATTATTTATACAGGACGAAGAAATTCAAAATTAAGAGTCAAAAATATGAAACCTTCAATTTAAATCATAAACGAATAAACAGGATTTGCATGAATTAAATTTTTTTTTTTTTTAAATACTTTTCCGTATATATTCAGTTTTAAAAAAAAATTTGTTTAATAATATTGTCAAATCGAAAGTTTTTAATTTGTTTAAGTCTAAGATTAATACTTTTGATTAACGTATTTAATTTCGAAGTTTTTTCAGTAAAAATTAGAAAATTTTCATTTGCAGAATCCATTGAACAGTTTTCCAAAGTATTCTGAATAAAATGACATTTGCAGTAATTTCAAATAGAATTCGTTTTTAAGCATAAAATTTGGCAATTTTTCGAAAATTTTCTTATTGCAAAAGCTTTCATGATAACCATCTTAATTATATTTTCCATTAAGAAAACATTAACGGTTTATTTATTTAAAATTTACAAAAAAAAATGGAATTGATAATACTCGTAACAATTTACCCTTAAACTTTGTTTATTTTTAACATAAAAATACTTTATTCAACAAATAAACTGGAATTTTACCGGAATTACATTCCGTTCATATAATACTGAAAGTTCGTTATTGATATTATATTTTCCTAATTTTAACCGTCTGCACTCACACTTATTTTCATGAAAAAATATAGTCACACTGGTGTCTACAACACCCCAAAGTGTAATATCGTAAAAATATTAAAAAAAAATTTTGTGTTTCGTTTTTGTCTTCAAAAATTCATAAGAGTCAAAATTAAATTAAGTCAAATAAAGAGAAAATAAAAAAATTTAAAACAGCTTAAACCTAACAGTTTCTTTCAAATAAAGAATTCAAATCACTTTTTTTTTCTTAAACCTAAGTTTTTTAAAAAAGAATTAACTTGAACTTGCAATATCGATTCTATTTCTTATTCAAAGTCATTATTTCACTCATATTTTATCGGCGCATTCAAATCAAATAAGTGCTTTGTGTAATGCTGAAAAGCAAAATTTGAACAATATCTTTCTTTATAAGTTTTCAATAAAAACCAAAATTCGAATCTCTTACACATTACTCAGACTATGGTCTCTCAGACCCCAAAGCGACTCTAAGACTATTTTTTGAATATTTTCACGTAAAGACATTTAGCTTTTAACTTTTTGTCGTAAACTAATAATAAAAACGAAAATTTACATGTACTTTACCCTAAATTTAAAAGAGAAATATATAAATTAAATTCTGTTGGGGTCTACCAGACCCCAGTGTGAGTTTCCTGAGTTAAAATATTTAATAGTTTTTCTTTCATGTTCACTTTCATTTTTCATTAAAAAAAATATGTACAAACTAATAAAAGTAAAATTTAGTAAAAAAAATGCCCGACAGATTTTTTTTTCTTATATTCAATATTATATTTGATACTTTATCGCAGCAAAAGCAAATAAAAAATGTATTAAAATACACTGATTTAATTTTATTTAATAATTTTGTTGAAGAAATTGGAAAAGGGTCTCTTTTGAAATTTTCAATTGAACTGAAAAAATTGCATATAAGCAATAATATAAGAATATCAACATTTTGCAAAAAGTTTATCGGATAATTTTTAATAGAAATGATGAAAAATTTGGCGGCTATTTTAATTACGGTACGGTATTAACTCTATTAAATTGTTTGATCAGATTTAAATTGAGCAATTCGTATATTTAAATTTTAAAAAGACATAATAGGAAACCTTAATGCATATATACATATTTCTATAATTATTAATGTGTTTATGCTATTTTAATAGTTTATTAGAATTTTTTCAAATTATTATTTAAAACATTTTATAAATTTGTAATAATTTAATTAATTATCAAAACTTGTGCGTTTTTGATAAAAGAGAACACAATTTTTTACTTATAAAAAGAGTTGAAATTAATTTAAAATGTTTATAAAATTCAAATTTGTTCTTTCATTTAAAATTAAAGTTTGTCATATTGTTTTAAAATTTTTTTTGAATACCCACATACATATTTGAGGTGTGCAAAGTACATAATGTATTACGACTACATCAGATATTAGATAGTCATCAAATTAAATTGAAAATCAATGTTAGAAAATTGTAAACATTGATTTCTTATGCTTGAACTTTGACGTCAGAAAGAAAGATGAATTTTTTCAATTTATAAGGTTGAACAAAGTTTGCTCAAGAACTCGAATTAAGCAATGAAAAAATTTCAATTTTAAAAGAGAGTCTAGAAACTCTATTTTGGATTGGAAAACTGTATTAACATCAATTGAGATCGGCAATAAGTTTAATAATATTTATTTAAACTTAATTAAATGAATAGACATATTTTATTCATGATTGAAAATTTAAGCAAAATATTTAGAGAGAAAGAGAGGGAAATTTTGTGACTTAAGAGGAGCAATTAAAAAATGTAAGAGCAAAAGATAGTTAACTCATTTTCTGATTGTTTTCATTTTTCCCTTCCAGATCAATTAAAAAAATATTCGGCTATTTTTTTTACATTTGGATTAAGCTCAGAAATAAGAATTAGTGTTCTTTTTAACAATCAGATTATGCTGAGATCGTGCTGAGATCTATTTGGCAAACTTTCGGTGTTTTATATAAAAAGAAAATCGCTTTCAAAAATTATTTATGCAGCAAACCTTTTAAGCAATTTTTTAAAATTTTTAATTTTATTAAAAACTCAATAATACTTTTTTTGCATCCCATGTACTTTCTTTCTTTCTTTTATGTCTTATTTTTAAAATTAAAATAAAAAAAAGATGAAACCAAAATCGTATTAAAAGTGCATTGATGAAGCATCCAGGAAAAATATTAAATAAAGTGTCATTGATAATGACCAGCAAATGGAAAATAAGAAGCAACGAAAAAACAACATTAAATAATATTTAAAAAGAAAAACGAAAACATAAAATAAAAAGTTTAAAACCAATGAACTTTTAAAAACGAGATGATCTGCTGCTGGTACATGCTAGCATTTCTCATGTATCATTTAACGTGCGCTGGTATATTTAAAAAGAAGTGTGATGCAACATTGCTGTAATAATTTTTTTAATATTAAATAAAAGCTTTGGTTTTATAAAGTTTTTCTTTTAATTTTTCATATATTAAAAAAAAATTTTTTTAGTAGAAAATTATTAAATTATAATTGAAGTTTACGATTTTATAACCATAATTAAATACCATCGTGCCATCTTCGAACTTTTCAATAGCTTCATTTTTTTTCCGTTTAGATTTATTGTAAATCAGTGTTTAAGTTTTGGATTCCGGCATGCAGCAAATAAATTTTATGAGTGTGTAAAATTAATAAATTTTATTGGTTTTGCATTCAAATAAATTAGTATCTCTAATGTTTATGTACTTGTATATACTGAAACATAGCTTTAAATTAAAACCAGGAATTGTTAAACAAATACGTATTTTATATATGTATGTGTATTATTAGAAAATAGTTTTAATGGATTGTCGAAATATTCAAATAAATTGGACATTCAATAACGGGAAATTGACTTATTCGGCAATACTAAACGAAGAAAATTTTTTATTAGTTTGCATTTACAAAGGTAAGCTTCTGATTATTTTCTTCTAATTAATTAAAGTCGAAACGAAATAAAGCACTTTTCAGAAATTCTGAAGTATTTAAAATTGGGTAAACTTTTGTAGGAAATTTACAATTATTTGTGCTAGCAATAGCAAATCAAGGCAATATATAATGTCAAACAGTAACGTATTATGGACGTTCTGCGAAAGTGCTGATGAATTACCGTTTTTTTTTGTTTTTCATAAAATAAAGAATTGATTTCTCTGTTACATAAAATAATGAAATAAAAAGAACCCTTTAACAATAAAGCTGTATGTTGCAAAACTTTTTAATCAATGATTTACTCGAATCGAATTCAGATTTGATTTTTAAATTTGCAAAATCACTAGAATTCAATTGAAGTATTAAATTTTGTTAAATTATTCATTTTTCAATTTGTAGACCAGAGTACACTTTTACTTAAAAAAATTGCTGAAAAATATGAATAAAAAAAAAATGTAAAAATATGTTATACATATGTATGTTATACATATAACGTTAATACAAACATACAGAATTACAAGAAGTTATGTCGAAAGCAAAACAAGTACGAATTAACTTTTATAATTGAAAGACATGAAGAGATAGTAAATGAACATAATGTAAGCATTCGGAATATTTCAAATAAATTAGTCTGTATGTATGATCAAAATTATAAATTCGAATATATTGTGATTTTGATATTGTTATATACCGTTTCTCTGATTTTCATCGCTT